AATTTTGTAAACTTTTAAGTTTCTTTTTACCCCGTACAGAAACTTTTTCAAGAATGGAAAAATTCGAAGCTAACATAAAAAAAGAATTCTCACCTTTTTTCATTATGTATATATTTGAATAAAGAAATTGGTAGAATGTATTTTCGAGGAGGAATGCTTCAAGTGCGACTCTTTTGGAATCACACTTGACCAAGAGGATTTTGAAGCGAGTCAAATCTTTAAGAAATAGTGAATGAATTGACACAACACAAAGTCTCACCAAGGTGCTCTCTTCACACAAGGTATAAAACTCATTGAAACTACGTTTCTTTACTTAGAATCGATGGATCTGGTCAAAATGCTTGAATGAAATTTTCTAGTGGATACTACAAGAGCTAGAATTTTTTTTTTTTTTTTTTTACTCTAGTGAATGAAAATCACACTTTTGCAGAATGAAAGAAATGCAAAGACGATTTTGTGGTGAGAAAAAAAAAATTAGACAAGGCCAGATGTTGCCAAATTTTTAACTACTATTTTGTTCAAATTTTCCCGGAAAATATGCTTCCAGTAACGTTTTCACGCTTTTTGAAGTATATATTTTTATTTTATGATGAATTATATATTAACAAATAATATTCTCAAATGATTAATGTATCGCGTTAATAGATGTCAAATAGTTTCAAATAGTTTATTTAAAAAGTAGCAAAATTAAACGCGAGCCAAATTGAGTATTTAATTGTTTGTTATAAAGAAATTAAAGATTAATATTATCAATAATAATTTAATTTATTAGAATATTATTACATATTAAATGATAATAATGAAAATTATATATGTTTACAGGCCTCGGATTATACGACTTTTTCCGACTTTTTTTCAAAAATACGACTTTTATCGACTTATTTTAATTAAATGCGACATTTTTTTTACATTTGAAAAAAAATGTAAATAAAATACATTTTTTTAGTATAAAATGTAGATCTTCTTCAGATCTTCTTCAATTCAATTATTTAACAAATTTTGAACTAAAATGATTCTTCACTAAATTAATTATTTTTAATAATTTTAATGAAATACATCACAAATTCAATTATATCAAAATTATTTTTCAATTAAAATTTTTATGAAATTTAACAATTGTTTATAATTTAAAAAAATATATATCACAATAAAATTGCATTATTTTTTAAAAATTTCAATTCAAAATAAACTAAAATTCAATTATTACCCGAAATTTTAATTCAAAATCAATTAAAATTCAATAAATATTAAAAATTTTCAATTTAAAATTTAATTATTTACCAAGTTTTCAATTTAAAATGAAATAAAATTCAATTATTTTCTAAAATTTCAATTGAAATTCAATTCAATTATTTTCTAAAATTTCAATCCAAAATCAAGTAAAATTCAATTACTTTCCAAAGTTGCAATTTAATATTAATAGAAATTCAATTATTTTCCAAAATTTCAATTCAAAATCAATTAAAATTCAATTATTTTGAAAAATTTTAATTGAAATTCAATTATTTTCCAAAATTTCAATCCACAATCAAGTAAAATTCAATTACTTTCCAAAGTTGCAATTTAATATTAATTGAAATTCAATTATTTTCCAAAATTTCAATTCAAAATCAATTAAAATTCAATTATTTTGAAAAATTTTAATTAAAATTCAATTATTTTCTAAAATTTCTATTCAAAATTAATTATCCAAATTTTCAATCAAAAATGAACTTCAATTAAATTATTATCCAAAATTTCAATTAAAATTCAATTATTTCCCAAAAATTTTCAATTTAAAATCAAATAAAATTTCATTATTCTCAAAAATTTGAATTCAAAATTAATTGAATTTTCAATAATTTGAACTTAAGAGCATCTAAAATTTAATTATTTCTAAAATTTTTCATCGAAAATTTTTTTTTTTGAAATTTAATAATTTCAATTATAACTCTAAGGAAATTCAATTATTTTTGACTATTTTAATAATATTCTTTGAAATTTCAACTATCTGAAACCATTTTTCAATTAAAAATGATTTTCAAATTATTGTATTTTGTCCGCATTTTCTAATAAATTTTTAGTGAAATCATCTAAAATTTTAATTACAAAACACTTAAAGTTTCAATTAATTTCAAAAATCTCAATTTTAAATCTTTGAAAATTCAATTAAATTCAAAAAATGTTTTACAAAAATTATTTGATAAATTATTTTTAGTTCTGTAAAATTTAATAATTGTTTGAAAATTAACAATATCTTTTGAAATTTAATTATTTCTATAAATTTCAACTTTAACCCTTCGAAAAGGATTATTAAAAAAAAAAATTTTTATTTAAAAATATGTAAAATATTTTTGTTAAAATAAAAAACAAATCCACTTTTTTTTTGAATATAAATCGACTAAAACGACTTTTTTTGTGTCTTTAAGTTGATTCGAGGCCTGTGTTTTTATAATTAATATTTAATAGGTATTCGTTGGCCCCTGGTACCATAAAAATTAATTTTTAAAAATTAATTTTTTTCAAATTACTATCTTCTACGAAATTTCCTGGCGCATCCTTTTTCTCATCATAAATTTTTTGTATTTGTATACAATTTTTGAATCAATATACAACTTTAAAAAAAAATTCGTTGGTAAACGTTGTGTACCTCAGCTTCGTGAATTGAATTTTCGAATTTGGAATTTTAAAGAAACTTATTTCGAAATTTGGAAACACAATTATACAACTTTGGCACAAATGAGAAAAAGAAGTGTCAAAATTTGTCACGTCATAAGATTACTATTCAAAAAAACACGTGAAATCAGAAAAGGCCAAGTTAGGACAGAAGGACAGACCAAGCATTTTATTATTATATAATAATTATTTACGTGAAAATTTGGAAAAAAAATAATTAACTTTTGAGAAATAACAGTAAGAGTTGATTTGTCCATTGTAAAACAAAAAAAGTAGAACAAACATAATTGTTTTTCTTTTTATAAAAAAAAAAGAGGAAAACCACTTAAAGCCTGCACTTGAAAATGGGGGCAATTTTTGTACAATATTTCTGCTTGTAAAAAACTGAAGATATAAACGAGGCTTGAGATATTCTTGAAAAAGTACCTTGCATCCGGTGCTCTCGACATTGAAAAGATGAATTCAATATATATATATATAGGCAATAAAAACACATCCAATGACTTTTATACTCATATAATATATATATAGTATTGGACCCAAAAAAAGGTATATAGCCGCAAAATAGTTGAGGCCAATTTCTAAATATCGAAGGGGACAATTACTTAGCCAATAATAATGGCCATCACAGTCAATTCTCACTGAACTACACGCATTGTATTTTTCAACTACCACTGTGCCTAAGGTGTTAGCCGAATCCCAACAAAATTGTACAACAAAGTGGATACGCTGGCAGATGTTCCATCTGTCAAAAATGAACTTTAAGCATCAATGGACCCGAAAAACGGAGGCTCATCCTTTCCAAAAATGATTTTCATTCATTTCTTTTTTTTTCACCTTAATCAGTGGTTCTCTTGACTTTTCAGCATCTTCAAGAACAAAATTATACTTGTAAAAAAAATTGTAAGAAAATATTTTTACGTGAAAGATAAATTGTTACAGGATTTGGAAAATTCCAAACAAAAATCATGGAAATTTTTTTTTATTTTATGTCCTTGTAAGAATCTTCTAAAACAAATTTTTTTTAAATACTAGTGTACTAAAAAAATTTTAAATTTTAAATAAAAATTGAAAAATAGACAAAATTTTGGTGACTATTGATATTGCAAAATTTAAAAAATTAAAATTAATTATTAAAAATTAAATATAAAAAAAAATTTGGAAATAGAATTTGAGAACCTCTATAGAAAATGCCAAAACCTTGTGGAAAAAAAATGAAAGCAATATAATGTGTCGTCCCAAGTCAAATGAATATAATAGAGTCAAAGTGAAAAAAAGGAAACGCCTTCCAACTCTCTCGAAATTCGAGTGCACTCAAGTTTAAATTTTCAGACAATTGTCAGGTAATATGTTCACTCTAAAATTGTCATTTATCGAAAATTTCTGATAATATAAGAATTAAACGATTTTCCAATTTTGTATGCAGTCACCGCCTCCACAAAACTAAAATAATAATAATCTATTTTCAAATATTTTAAAAATAATTATCGCACATTAAAAAGTCTGAAAAAATTATCATTATTAATAAATAATAATAAATTAATTTTTTTATAAATATAATTATTTATATATTAATAAATATCTCAAAAAATAATAATTCGACTTTTTGTATATTTTTAATAAAATAAAATTTCCTAAATGTTATACCTAAACGACATTCTTTAGAACAGAGAACTTTTTTACGGAAGTGCTTTAATATGTCGAATGAAGAAAGAAGTGATTCACCTCGAAAATTCGCGGGACTCAAGACAAAAGAAACTTTTCTCAAAAAGGGAATAGAAAAAAAAAGAAAGAAAGAAAGAAGGAGTTAAAACATGCAAACCTTTTCTGCGGTCGGGCAAAGATGTTTGGCATATTTGTCACATTCGAATAATTCTAAAGAGGTGCACCTGCCTGAGGTTTTGGCAAACACGAAATTTGTGGGGACCCCAAGAATGGATGTATCGGTAGCGAAAAGTGCGATAACTTTTATTCGTTTATTTGGGTTGCCTATATCTGTATCCCTAATCGACCCAATACAAAATGAAAAGGCGAACGAAATTCTCTGGAATTTTGCAAAGCAAAATTGTATCGCGATACGACTCTCGAAATTCAATAATATATTTTTTGTTGTATACACCCACACATAAATGATCGATTTAAATGTCGTTAACAAATATAATATCTTTATTTGATGACCTAATAAAATATTCATAATCTATTTTAATTAAAAACAGATTAAACTTTTGGTGAAAAAAAAGTTTAACTAAAATTTGTAATTATCACACAAAAAAAAATTACTTAAAACAAAAATGTTTTCCTTTAATGGAAAAAAAATTGTTAAATTTTGAATAATTAAAATTTACCTTAATTAAAAATTACCATTGGTTGATTTTTTTGAATATTCTGGAACACACTGACTCTAAATTTAAAAGTACAAACCCGCACTGACTCTAAACTTCAAAAAAAAAAAAATCTTGCTTTTTATTTCCCTATAAAAGTGGTGGTTTCTGCTCCTCGTTTTCTAAAATAGCACTGAAAAAAAACGAAACATGTATTAAATCAAAAGCTGTAAAAAATAATACAAATTTTTTGTAAAACTATTATAATTATAACAATTGATTATATAAATATCATGAATTATTATAATTATTATTTTACCATCATGTATTTATTATAATTATGTTTTATAATTAATATTAACAATAAACAATCATGAATTAAAAAATGACTAATTAATAATTATTAAAAATAGTAATTTATAAATTAATTATAATATTTTAATTATATTTACCAGAATAGCAGATTCGCTGCGTTCATTATGCGATCCTTTTTAAGCCATTTAGCCCCCGGAGATCCCTACTCTTAAATTACATTTCCATTGTGAAAAATGGAAATGTAATTTTGCGAATAGACCGGGTTTTAAGTAGCCTACAACTTTTTTTTTTTAACGTTGCAAAAGGATCACACTGTGCCATTTCTTTGTTCGGTGCAGCCATCAATGAAGAAAGCTGAAAAATAAAAAAAAAATTGTAAAAAAAAACAATGTTTTCTGTAAATATTTAAAAAATTGTTATATTTTTTTATAAATAAAATTTAATAATTTACACTATTAGCTATGATTATTTAAAAATATTAAATAATAATTTAACTTTGAAAAAATTAAAAATAAATTATTTATAAGACATATTCGAAAAAAAAAATTTCCCGTTAATGCTAAACTTTTCCTGTGAAGTTAGTATATATATTAATACAATGATTTTGTAGAAAATGCTCGATATTTAATAGAAACATCAACAAAATATTAGGGATGCATTATCTAAGTGGAAACTTTCATATTTTTAATTTATTTTACAACATAACCTTAAATTCCATGGCATTAATGTTGTAAATTTTATCATCCCTTTATATATTCTATCAAACGATGCATAAAATTGCTTAAAAAAGGCAAAGATCGATTTTTTTTTCAACAATTTGTAACCGTTATAAAAAATTTATAAATATACATACGAGATAAAAAAAAATTTGATTTAAATAAGATTTCTCGTATTATATTAATTATAACTTACCATTGCTGCCAATTATCTCCTGCCATGAGGATATATATATTCATCTATCCAGTATGACTACAAAACAGTAAACGAAGCTGAAAAAATAAAAATTTATTTATTTTGCAACAATAATGGAAACAAAATGGACGCCAATGTTGGCAAAAAGACAATTTTTGCGACCATTGACCTTTATACATATTTATCAGATATTAACCAATTTTTGTCAAAATTTTCATTAAAATCGAGTTACCCAACTCATATAACAATAAAAATACACAAAATTCTTAAATATAATAAAGAAATTTACCTTTTTTCGATGAAGAAATGAGGAAGACACTGGCAAACCGCCACTTTCAGGTACAGGCGCTGCAAGAATAATCGCAGCAGGGGAGCTATGCTCTGATTGGCTGAAAAATGAATCCAACGAATTTGATTGGAGGACATGTTTCTATCCGAATATTCCGTTAACAAAAATGTTAAACAGTTATTAAATAATAATTACATTATTAAAAGACAATTTTTACTTTTATATCGTATTATATTTTATTAAGGAAGACTTGAAGCACTTTATATTATAATTCAATCTATTAAATTTTATTCATTTCGATTATTTATTAAACTATTAATTGTTCATTTGACTAGTTGTGTCACATTACTTTTTACTTCCGGTTGCGCAAAAAGTAACGAATTTGTTTTGCGCAGACAGTTTATTTACCTTTGTAAAAGATTTAAGAATATTTTTGTCAACTGCTCATAGTAATTTACGTGATACTTTTTACATTTGTTTAAAATATATTGTTGGCAATTATTTGTTAAGGGTAAAAATACCAGAAGCCCTAATTTTTGTTTATATATCTATTACTGAAGGTTATAAAAATCAACAAACTAAGATAACCTCAAAATTCGTGTTTTTCTATTTTCGTGAGTTAATTAATTAAAAATTCAATTTAAGAAAATTTTAGAATGTTCTATACATTTTTTATTAAAACCAATTATAGTATTAGAGGAAATTAACCTTTTGGATATTGATTATGAATCTAAAAAAAGACTTGTTTTGCTTATAAGGTTGATTTTGTTTTCAGAAATTCACGGTGGACCCAAACGATGAAATAATAAACCATTCATCTTCCCTCTGATCCGGTATCACAAATAGGCAATTCGTATACAAATGTAATACTCAAGTGGCAACACTTCATAACAAAGCGATACGAAAACTGGCTCAAAAATCGAGCACCCCTATAAAGTTCCTTTCCCCAAAGAGTATACCCCATGACAATCATGGGACAAGGTGGCTCTTTGTAAGTTTCGATAACAAGTGTAACGGATTCAAGAATCATCGAGGGGTGAAAAATAACCACAATTTTTTTTTTTTTTTAAGAATGACAACGTCTTCTCCGTCTGTGAGTATGAATATGAACTCCAAAAAGATATATATATACTTTATAAAAAACAGTTTGTATAAATTTATATTTTATTTTATTAAATAATATAAATTAATTTTAATTCGTTTACTATTTTTATTTTTAAAATTAATTTCCTATTAATTAATGCTTTATTTAGTTCTCTATGGTAATAATTTTTTATTTCACAGAGGAATAAGCATTTTATTTATTTCAATGAAAAACAAAGGATTTTGATTGAAAAAGTTTATCAAAATTTTATATTTAAAACAAGTTTTAAGAAGAAAACGTTTTATCATCTTTTCAAAGGAATAAAAATGAAGATCATAAGTGGTCTTTAAAACTTGATGAATTTGGCAATTCAAATTTGACATTTGACACTTAATAATCATGAATCATTTTTGGGGAGACACCCATTTTTTGAGATTATGATCTAAGTAACTCTCAATGTTAAGAGGTCAGAAAAAGGATGATACCCCACTCGAAGAACTAGTTTCGTAACTGCGGTGATAATTTTACGAATGATGGACGAAATAAATATTCAAATTTAATATTAACCCCAGCTCAGTTGCAAAGGGGGTTCAACTGACTTTTTATGACAAGTGTAACGTACACATTTCAGTTTCATCATATATATATATATACACTGTCTCCTGGAGGTAATGAATTATTCCAAAAAAAGGAAGAATACTGGTTATGTATTTTTTTGAGTCTATCTCTTTTTTTTGTCACTTGATTCATTCTATACGGATTCGTTCAACTGCATAATTTGTATCTTTCACGAGTTAATTCTAATGTAAATAAAATTCACAAAAGATATGTCAGTCAGTCTATGTTCACATCTGTGACAAAATTGCAAAATTAATATGAATTTTTTGACACATCGTTGAGAAGAAAAAAATGAAAAGACTTTTTTTAGAAGTAAAACAATTACGAAGCAAATTCAAATTGGTTAATGGACTTCTTTGGAGAAAAAAAAATGAAATAATTCTGGAAATTTGTTTTTACAAAATTTGGAATTTAATGAAATTCGAGCTGAAGTTAATATTTAAATTAAATGCAATCTATTTTGAAAAATAATTTCAATTGTTTAAAAGCAATGAAAAATTGAGATAAAATTTCTTGGGAAAATATAGAAAATTATTACACAAATAAAACAGACTGTGCGGTAATTATTTTAAAAATTATTATTAGAATTTCTTGTCTTTTACGCAAAAATAATAGTGACATACCTTTTCGTGACACCTCATCTGTCATTATGAGCCAGCAAGCTCGTCTGAGTGTCATTAAGCTTCATTTACAATCCACACCTTATTATGCATAACTTATGAAAAAAAGCCGCTAACGATGCTGAGCCAGGGAATCGAAAAAAAACTACTTAACATCACATCCCCCTTGCAATCGCTCATGATTTCTCTCGTTTTTGCTCATCAATTTAAATCCGTTTTTTTCTCCCATGCTCTTCAACAATGCACATAAGATATTCTCTCAAGAGTTGCGAGAAGAAAAAAAACAAATATATTCTCCAACCCCTCCGCAAACAAAATTTTTATTATCATTGAAATTTTCTTGTCTGGAAAAAAAAATTTCTTACAAAAATTTCTGATTTAAACATAAATTCTTAGAATTAAAAAAAATATCATATTAACATAAGTTTTCAAAAAAGAAACAAATCAAATGAATTATATATTATAAAAATAAATAAATTTTATAAAAATCATAACTATAAAAAAATTCCTTCACTTTAAAAGCATAACATTTAATTAATAAATATTTTATTATTATATATAATATAAAATTTATCTTCCCTTACAAAGTTTGCCTGTAAAGGTAAAATCAAAGTCGATTAAATCTCGATTCTTATATATGAATTGTGCTCAAGAGCGATAATTCTAAAGTGTAACCATATCACTTTGTAAAATTTAAATTCGGTACACTTCCAAAAGATAGATTTGAATAGAGCAGAACTCATAAAAAAATCATAATACTCTTATAAATCAAATACAGGTCAAGATATCCTCGATGAAGGCTTCATACGAGTCATAAACCATCCCGTATGCGCGACGAATTTGTAATATTTTATGTGTGAGCGGTTAAACTAACAATCGCAAATCTTAAAGAATTAAGGGCTCATATATATGAAAGAAGAAAAAAAAGGGAGAAAATATTACTACATACTTTGTAGTGAAATATATATATATTTTTTTTTTAATGGCCAACTTTGTTCTCAAAAGGAACTGTTCGACAGTTATCCCTTCCTGTTTCATTTATGAAAGGAGATCTCTCATGAAAATATAAAAGATGGGACAAATTTTATGATACACATTTTGTTACCAAGTTATATAAGACTTTGTATCAAAGTCATTTAAAAAAAAGAGACGAGAACAGATGACATTCAAAATAAAAGACTTGACGATCGTTTCTAAAATGATTGCAGACAATTGTTAATAGGCACGTGTGTCGTTTGGATATTTTTTAAATTTCTATTTGATATTTATATAGTGGGACGTTTTTCAAATTTGCGTCTTAAACTTCGAATAGTTTTGAAATTTTTTAATATTTGAAAAATTCTAATAAAATATTTATATTCTACTTGTAAATTAATATAGTACATTTTGTAGGATAAAATAATTACAATAAATAAATTTTACATTAAATATAATTTATAGAAAGTTTACATATATTTTTCTTCTTAATTTTCAATATCGAAATAAATTATCACAGAATAACTTAATTAATTAAAATGCCTTTAGATATGACGAAAACAATTTCCTCTTGTATTTTAGACATTGCTCGCAGGAGTTTCTTGAGTAGCTGAAAAAAATTAATTTTAATATTATTAATCCTAAATAAAGAAAAATTATTTATTGATTTGATAACAAATTATTCCTTTTTTATTTAATAAAAAAATATAAAAGCATTTTTTGAAATACAATTATTAAATTTAGTTCTTAATGAGCTCTGAAATTACCGTAAAAAAAATGAATACCTTTATATGAATATTCTAATGCAGTTGCAATTGTTCGCATATCGCCTTCAATACTGCGAGCCCAATTTTCAACGTCTCCAATTTCTTTCAAAGCACTGGAAAAAGATTCCACAAGATTCAACCATGATTGAGTTTGTTTAGCAAAATTTGTAGCGCTAGTTTGTAGCTGCTTTGCCTCTGCATCTAGTTTTTTCTGATTTAAATATGCTTGTGCAACTCTAAAAATTATTTAATTTATAAATTAATAATTATTAGTATTTTATTCATTTCTCATAAATTAATTAAATTATTAATTATAACTATAATTCCTTTTTTATTATAATTAGTAATTTTTAAATAAATTAAGTATATAAGATAAAAAGAAACAAAAATCAATTAAATGGGAAAAAAATAAACTAACCCAACATTTAAATGATCGACCAATGCCTGAGTTAAATTGTTTGCAGCTTGGACAGCTTCTTTTCGTTTTTGTTCTATAAATAAAAATATAAAAGATAAATATTATCCATATTTTCTTATTTGTATCGTTTATAAATAATTATTTAAAAAATTAATCATTATTTCATGACATATTACTTACCCTGTCTTTCTTTTCTTGCTGCTTGCTTACTTTGATGCTCTTTCACTATTGACGATAACATTATATTTTATTTATATTAAAACTATTTGTTAATTAATTAAATATTTATACTTTAATTAACAATCTCCAATGTTGTTTTTTGACAGCTGATACCTAACCTAACTTCCAAATGTCATAGTGAATTAATCCAGTAGATGGCACTGGACTATATTCTGGCGGCAAATTTAAATATTTTTTACGAAAAAAAATAAACCTATTTGATTTTTATTCTATTATAATAATTAATATTAAATTTTTGAAACAAAAAATATTTTATTTAATATGCAATAAAAACTAAATAAACTTTTTTTATATTCTTTTTATTATTTATGTAATATGTTTTATAAAAATTACAAAGAAACTTCTCTTCAAATTGCTATAATTCTTTTTTATTCTTTTAAAAACTATTTTTTCTTTTCATAAATTATAATAAAATAAAGATAATAGTTATAAAAAAAAATTATATACTTACCATATTTTATTTTTAGCGACGAAACAAAGTCAGCAAATAAGAAATGATAATTTTCCACTTAAGACTAAAAGGTAATAGTGAATTTATAAAATTAAAATAAAAAATGCCATTATTTGCTATAACCAAATAAGAATTTATTGAAGATTTAGTAAAAACAGAGATAAATTCGATTGCAATTAAGAAGTTTCAATTACGCCATTATATCGAGATATGGAGGTAGGATGGTGGAGGGATGAGGTGAGGATAAGAAATTTATGGAACATTTTTATTTTCTTATTTTGCAGAAAGCTATTCAAATGCACCATTTTTGGCATATATATATATAAAAATTATATCGGAGAAAGAATATGATCATTATAAAATTTGCGAGCACCATTAAAAACTCACCCCTGTGTTTTTTTTTATTGAGAAAAAATTGAATTTAAAAAAAATTCGTTTCCGACGTATCTTGAAAATTTTTCATAAATGTTCGGTTCTGTTTCACCCCCAAAACCACTGACTTTTTTTTTTTTGTCCGTGTCAGGGGCTCGATGCCCAATAATTTTCTTACGATTTTTCTTGAGGTTTGTATAATTATTGCACTCGTAGTTCTTCAAGGCTTGAGACATTTTTTTTCAGCCGCAAAATGAATGGGATTGGGATCATATTCTTTGTCACAAGCGCGAAAAACCTTCGTTTCTTGAAATTCGAGCAAGAGAAACACATCTTGAGAAATCTTGTCTTCGATTTTTTCTTTGCAAAATTTTCATAATTTTCAGAGTGAAACTTCAAACTTCCCTCTATCATCCAATACCTCTTGATTCAAAACCTTATAAACAAACAAACATGTTAGAGAACGTACATCTTATTTCTGCAAGTTTCATTTGTTTATTTATCGCTTTAAATAATTTAATTTTTATTTATACTTATAATAATTTTTTGTTTTTGTTTTAATAATTCAATAATAATTGAGGTACCCCTGGGTTGTTGAAACAATCATTTACAAAAAAGAATTTGGTACCTTATTAAATTTAAATTGATTGGAATACAAATTGAAGCAAACTATCGTAGGAAGCAAGAGAAGACAAAAAGAAGCAATCATTTGTATTCCAACCTTTACATCGTGGTTTTCTTTACGATTACAATATCACAAGCCTTATTTTCATACTCGCAAGTTGTCAAATTTTATGAATGAACATAAGGCTTAAAACATCCATTCTAACCTTCCTATTTTTTTTAGTGCTAGGAAAAAATTCTTTTTTGTTCCCAATTTTTTTTTTTTTTTCTTTTCGTCAATTAATTCAAAAAATTACTTTTAATGAAAAAAGTAGTAAATATGATAAGTAAACACAAATACACTATATATGCACCATTATTAGGTAAGGTGAGAATAGCGACAATTTTAAATGTAGTTATTTTGAATGTTTTCGACCCTTAATACAGTTAGAGAAGAAAAAGGGTCATAGGGTCAAGTCACACAAATGGCTCCCACAACATCTGGCTTCTCGTACCACACTCGTGTCACTTAATACCGACCTGAAATTCATTAAGCAACAAAAACTATGATTGTTTGATCCAGGTTATGGGGTACACTTAGTAACTACCGCATATCTTGATGCTCCTGTCTCTCCCATTCTTGTTTATTCTCACATATATACTAGACGGTTATATTTTTTTTTCTTTTCTCAACGGCCCATTTTTTTCATGCTGACAGTTTACAAAAATACAATACAGTTTTTTCCGCAAAATTCACGTTAAATTAGATTATTAGCAATTTTTGAAAATAAAATACAATATTCAAAATATTTAATTTTCACAATCGATAGATAACTCAAGAGTTAATTTATAAATTCTAAATTTACCAATAATTGTGTTTTTTTAAAACTTTAGAGAATTTCTATAAAAAAATAGGAAAACAAATGTAGTTTGTTAAAAAATATATAATTATTTAATTATTATACTAAATTATGATTCAGTGTATAAAAAATGTTTGTATCTTATCTTGAATTTGTAAAAGATATTTTCGTTTCATATTTTTGCTTACTGTCTGCACGCTAGTATAAATTTTTAAATTCAAAACGTTCGGACTTACGTGGTGAATAAGAAGGAGTCCTTGACCTATCGTAACGAGAGCGTTTTCTATAATAAGGACTCGGAGAACGACGATAACTTCCCCTGTAACTATTTCTGCAACAATTAAAAAAAACAAACTATTTTTAGAAAAAATGCTTAGAAAATAATATAAAAGAACATGAACAAAAAGTAAAATGTGGTTCGGCCGAGACACTACACTAGTCTATTTTCATGTATTTTTTCACGCTGAATCCGAATCCGAAGTCAGAATTATCAGATTGGCTTTTATTTTTGAAATAAACTCAAAAAACTTCTCAGAAAGAAAAATAAAATCAAAAAGTTAAAAAAATTTTGAATGTCACTGCGATAGTGTAATTCCATGTATTTTTTGTCGCTGAATCCGAATCCAAAGTCAGAATTGTTAGATTCGCTCAAATTTTTAAGATAATTGCAAAAAAACTCAAGTAACAAAAAACTCAAAATACTCAAAATCAGTTTTTTGGAATTATCTTCAAAATTTGAGCCAATCTGCCAATTCTGACTTCGAATTCGGATTCAGCGTGAAAAAATACATGAAAATGCACTATCGTAGTATTTTGGCAAAAAAAAATTATCTGTGCCCCTAATTAAGAATTTTTATCAGTTTTTGGCGATTTTAGCTCAAAGAAATTTTTTTTTGACGAAACACTACGATAGTGCATTTTCATGTATTTTTTTACGCTGAATCCGAATTCGAAGTCAGAATTGCCAGATTGGCTCAAATTTTGAAGATAATTCCAAAAAACTGATTTTGAGTATTTTGAGTTTTTTTTGCAATTATCTTAAAAATTTGAGCGAATCTAACAATTCTGACTTTGGATTCGGATTCAGTGACAAAAAATACATGGAATTACACTATCGCAGTGACATTCAAAATTTTTTTAACTTTTTGATTTTATTTTTCTTTCTGAGCAGTTTTTTGAGTTTATATAAAAAATAAAAGCCAATCTGATAATTCTGACTTCGGATTCGGATTCAGCGTGAAAAAAAACATGGAAATAGACTAGTGTAGTGTCTCGGCCAAACAGCTTTTTATTTTTTGTGTGCCTGTGTAATAGAAAGCGAAATGTATAATAATTAAAATAATTACCAAAATAAATATAAATTTTTTTCTTTTTACAAAAAAAAGAAATATGAAATCACAACTTACTCTCTGCGTCGAGAACCAGAAAATTCGCGCTCATTAAGATGAGTAGGTTTTCCCATGTAGATTCCAGGTGTTGGTGTATGCGCCCTTTGAGTGATGGAAAAATCAACCCTTATACGTCGACCATCGATCTCCATTCCCGTACATTGTTCCTTGGCAACTTTAGCATCTTCAGGTGATTCGAAATACACGAAACTAAATCCTCTTGATCTTCGTGTCTACAATGGGGAAAAAAAGAAAACATTTTCATTAATTATCTTATAAGCTGTTAAATTTATTCGAAAAAAAAATAAAAGTTCAGCCTCACCAAAAGAAAACTTACAAATTTCTTCTTTTCTTAAAACAGCTAAAAATATTAATCACCTGGATAAATAATAATAATAATAAGAACAATTTTGTACAAATATTGCCAAAGGCCTTTAACATTATGCGTTATCTTCATATGCGGAACGTTCTAAATCTCTGGCTTTTAATATACCCCTTAGATTAAATTTAAATCCAAATGAAAAGGAAATAAAAAAAATTTCCATATAAACAGAAATGAACTAAGGGAAGCTTAATAATAAATTAGTGAATTTGAAAAATGAAAATCTTTTTTTTTTTATTTTACCTTTGCATCAATCACGACTATGACACGTTTCACTGGACCGTACTTGGAGAAGATGTGGTAGATCTGTTCCTCAGTGGTGCAAATGGACAGGCCAAAGACTCCCAGACAAGTGGATGGACATGGATTATCCCGGTTTCCAACGTGACGTCTTCTAGATGACATAGGACTGCGAGAGTGTGAACGATACATATTTCTGTCTTCGTCGCGTGAATAACGCGAGCGTGAGTAAGATCGAGACCTGCTGCGTGAGTAGCGTGCACTCCTGTATGGTGATCGGCTCCGGCTGCGACTCCGATGACCACCACCGCCGCCACCACCACCTCCTCCTGCACCACCTCCACCTCCACCGGCTCCATATTTGTTGGTCCTGTAGTTCTTTCGTCCTCGCGATGGTGTTCGGCTACGGGATCTCGAATACTCCTTGATTGGTCTGTGAGCTTCCTTCCTCTCGCGGGATTTCCTTGATCGTGAACGTGAACGTGAATCTCTTATGCCCTCGGCTGTGCGTGCTCTTCGCGGACTTGCGCTCCGACTTCCACTCCTCTAAAGTTTTTTTTTTTTTTATATATTTATTAATATCACATTAATTATAATCATACACAATTTTTAATCAAACATTCCAAGGGACTTTCAATTAAAGATGAAAAAAAAAATCTCGAGAGATAATAAATAAATAAATGTCAACAAAAATAAAAAAAAATTATTTACCTATACAATATAAAAAGAATTTGATTTTAGAAAATATAAACAATCCCGAGAGATAATTTCATTTTAAAAGAAAATCTCAGAGTTTCAAATTAAAATGTGTAATTAAAAAAACAACAAAAAAATAATTAGGGATTTAAAAAAAGCTTACGAAAATTCCATTCTTTCGAAATTTACTCTTGTTATCTTCTTGTTTAGATAAATCACTATAGAAACTCGAGTCTTGACGTAATCGATAGAACACCATTTTTTTTTTTTTTTTTATAGTAACACTTGGATTTATAAATTTTTTTTTTCTTGTAAAAAATTAGAAAAAAAAACCACAAACATCCAGGCTATTTAAAGCTATCGGTAAAATAAAATAAACAATTTACAAACAAGTATCTCACGTTTTATTTATAGTTTTAAAATTTATGTATGTAAATTGAAAAATTTTATGCAATACGTATAAAAAATGTACCCATAATTGTTGAAAAAAATTAAAAAAGAAACGAATCAAAAAGCTTACGACTGTAAAAATAAAAATTGAGACAGTTTGCTGACGAAAAGATAAACAGGAAGGGGCCATTGGGAGGGAAAAAACAATCAATACTTTCATATAGGAGGGGTAAAAAAAACAGTTTTCTAAAAGCAGTTTCATCAATAATTATAGAAAAAATATAATTGGTTAATAAAATACATTAAAACGTGTTGCCACGTTAATGTTTTTTATAGCTTAACAATTTGAAACAAAAAATTCAGTAATTTTATAAACTGTCATACAATTTAAAATGTTGACAATAATTAATAATTATTGTAAAATTCATGGCGTTTAAAGTGAAGGCATTTTTTTTTAGAATAAAAAATAGATTTGCAGGGGAAATTATAGTTTGGATCGATAGCGGTTGGGTTGATCGCATGCAAAAGTCAATCCACAAACTTAATATAGTATTATCAAAATTAATTCTACTCACCTCCATGTCGCTCATTTTGCAAAAACAATCAAATTCAAATTAATACTTTATAAAATATATTATTATAATTTAACTCGATAAGTATACCGAGAAATCAAGCGTCATTAAACTGTAATGGCGTACACTGGGAAGAAACTCGTCTCCCTCTTCCCCTTCCTCTATGATAATAGAAAACTTGTTACCAACCGTTGCTAAGTAACCGTTGGCAAGCCTTCCAGCGCCATCCACATTGGCGCGAAAGTTTTAAACTGTTTATAAAAATAAAAGAATAGTTTTATAAAAAACTTTATTATTTTACTTACTTAAATGAAATTTTAATTCATTTACTTTATATTACATTCTATAATTAATTATATTGTAATATTAATAATTAAATTAAATTGCAATTTCTCACTTTTATTTCAAACGTTCCTGTTTTTATTCATTTCCACTAAACTGCCGGAAATGAACCAGATAGATGCGTGAAATGAACACGTTTTGAAACTAGTTTGCGCAATTATCACATACGCCAAGCCGCTGCAAACGTAGTTGACGAACCATTTTTCTGTCGTCAAACGGATCAAGCTTTTTGTGAGATTTGGATCAATCACAAAAAGCGGGATTCGCTTTTCGCATAGGAATTGGCCTGCCACTGGAGCCAGCTGATTTGGAAAAAAATCGTCCGCAAAATTGTGAGTAAAAGTTGATGACTTTTTTTTCTACACACTTTGTTGCGGTCGATGTGCTCTCTCTAACACCGGTCTGTTGGGGCGTATCTATTTGCATTTTATAATTTTGTCTCCTTAATATTAATTAATAAACATATAGATTGTGATCTTTACTCTATATTATAATATATTTTGTTATTCTACAAGTATTATAGAACAACTATTTTCCATTTCAAAATCAATCAATGTTTTCTACAACAAAATATGGCCGCCGGCCGGTTCCTCTCAAAAGCTTATTCTCTCATGAATTAAAACAATTATTTTCTCTATTGTTCAACATTAATATGTTGTATCTAGAAAATTTGTAATTTAAATTTTCTTTTTTAATTCCCATGTTTTAGTGACAGTTGACTAAATTAAATTGTGTTTATTTACAAAAAAAAAAAAGTTGGTTGAAAACGTCATAAATATTTATCTTGGTTCATGACTCAATATAGTTTTGTCTTTATTCGTATTTCAAAATTTCTTTATGCAAATAGTGGAGATATATTTATTTATATAGCTTTATTGTTTAGCATTAAAATGGTGATAAAGTATGTGAAAAATATTTTTATTAGATCATTTTTTAAGTATTAAATCTTTCTTTTTATTGTTTCACCACGTGGAGTGTGTAAATATTATTGTTGTGTTTTTTTTACGATTAATTTAATGTCATCTGTGTTACAATTTCAGTGTGTTTTTTTTTAAAGGCAATTTGACTGTCCACTGACGTACGTTCTCGAAGAAGTCAATGGAGGTAAATATATACTGTTTTAATGTATTCATTTTTATGTCAGTGAATTATTTTTAAGATATTAAATTCCGTATGGGACTTTTTTATTTATTTTTAAAAGAATTGAATTTCTTTTTAATTTTTTTTTTTTAGTGTTTATTTCTATTTAGAAAATAAATTCTATATTTATTATTATTATGATAGTAGAATCTCGTTGAATGGAGTATTAATTAAATGTGAAATTTGCAGGAAAATACGATGGACGAAATGCGACATTCCCAACAAGTTGGGACCAATATGATTGGAGTGGTGCCTAATCATTCTGCTAATCCGGGAAGAACTCGAGGTAGAACTCGCGTGACAATGCACGCTCTGATGTCTGAAGCATTGCCATTGGATGAAGCAGCAAGATTAGAAATGAAAGCATTGCCCGGCAAAACACCTGTTTCAGTGCTTCAGGAATTATTGTCACGGAGAGGCACGACTCCCAAATATGAGCTGGTACAAATTGAAGGCGCAATTCATGAGCCTACGTTTCGCTATCGAGTTACCGTTGCTGATGTTGTTGGTTCGTATATATTATTAGTTTCTTTTATTTACATTTTCAATAATTTCGTAATTTTATATGGTGAGATAAACTTGAAAAGGGCCACCAATTTTTTTTTTTCTTACTTTTAGTTTAATTATTTTTAGAATGTGACGGTTGTAGTAATTTGAATTCCAAAATATTGTAACATATATGAATGTATAGTAAAATGTCTGAAAGGATAATATGAAAATTTATAAGATCTTTACGATTGAAGCAGATCCAATCGTTTCAGCAATGGGGACCGGCAGGTCCAAGAAGGAAGCAAAACATGCGGCTGCTAAAGCCGTTTTGGATAAATTGATCGGTGTGAACACTGAATCTCCTGATGCTCCTCTTCCAAATAGTATTCCAGAGTAAGTTGTTCTTAATTCTTGTTACAAATACAAAAAAAAAAATGGTAAAAAAATAAATTATCCGTTTTTTCAGTTCGCAGGGCTTGCAAGAAATGCAGGGTAATTATGGTGAAGAAAAAGTGATCAATAATCCAATTGGCTCACTGCAAGAGATGTGTATGTCTCGTCATTGGCCACCACCGAAATATTCAATGGAAGGTGAAGAGGGTTTGCCACACGAGAGACAATTCACTATTGTCTGTTCAATTTTAAAATATCGTCAAATTGGTCAAGGCAAGAGTAAGAAACTCGCTAAACGACAAGCAGCTCATAAAATGTGGCAAAATTTACGTGACTCTTCAGATCAAACTCAAACTGCACCGGACGAAGACGAGGTATTTTTCTATTATTATTATTTTTTAATAAAAAATACTTTCTACATCAATGCTTGCTTAAAATTTGAATGAAAGCAAAATTATTGTTTGTGTGAATGGTGATATAGAAGTGGAAGTGATTTTGCCTTTTTGCAAAAAAAAATTTTTTTTTAAACCTTCATTCCCTTATATCTATAACGGACAATTTTTCTTTCGTTTTTAACAAAGATTTTCGTCCTAAGACCCTTTCGTTTTTTTTTTGGTTTTTTTTTTTTGTTGAAAAAGAAAAATGCATGTTTGGATCATTTCCACTTCTTTATTTTTCTTTTATTATAATTTCTAAACAAATTTATTTTTCTAGTATCAACATTTTTATAAGTGTTTTAAACAAATTGGCTCTTATTCTGTCGAATTGTCCGTTATAGATTATTCAAAGAAATGCAAATTTGAGCGCTCGATATGCCGATTTGAAAGAAAGCAAAATCTCGACTTTGACAACCGCCCACAGTCACAAAGTCTCACTATTTCACAAGAATCTTAAATCTTCTACGGGTGTTAAACTGTTTGAGCTGCAGGTTTGTATTTTAACGAAAATGTTTTCTTTCAATTTTCATTGGATTCCTTTTTTTGTCCAATTGTAAAAAAAAACTACTAATAAACTTTTATCATTAGAATTTAAAAAAAAAAAATGATTAAATTTTATTACGGTTCAAAATATGATGACTGTTGTTACAGAATACATGCCTGAATGATGGGGATGTCAATTTGGTGCAGTTCTTACAGGAAATAGCTTCAGAACAACAATTTGAGGTGACTTACGTGGATATTGAAGAAAAATCAATCAGTGGTAAGTATTTTTATTTTTTCTCTGATAACAATTTTATTTTTAAAAAAACATTTTTTCCTTATTACATTAATTCGATCAATTATATAAAATTATTAAATATGGTATGAAAGTATAAAAATATATTTATATGAACGTAGTTCTAGAAATATCCAGTCTCTTCTGTTACTGGAATTAATTTGCAGTAAGAACTAAATCAACATTATAATCGGTTTCATTAGTAGGAATTTCCTCGCAAATCTGTTCATTAAAAGCCACTGCAATCAAATGTGGCTTTCGTTCTTGTATTTTCGTAATATTTCTTAAATAAACATCATAATATCCTCCACCGTGACCTAAACGTTTACCTTCACGACTAAATGCGACTCCGGGAATAATTATCAAATCTAACCCTCCTATAATATGAAATAAAATAAAACTGATGTAATTAAAATGTTCAATTTAAGTTAAATTATTTACTTAAAATGAATTTTAATTTAAAATTAAATCGAAATCAATTAGAAAAAATTAAATAATGATAAGAATAAAATAAAAATTAATCGTTCTAATATTTTGTTTACCAGTTTCAAGGGCATCTTCTCTTATGTCATTTTTATGAGGTTGTTTAATATTCCAACTTGTAAGGGGTAATTTTTCGTAATCACTCATTGAATGCAATTTAACCATTTGCATTTTTGAACCTCCATATCGGGGAACGAATACTTCTTTTTGTTTTTCAAAAAGATCTTTTAGTATTTGTTTTGTATCTATTTCATCATCGGTACTCAAAAAGAGAGAAACTCTTTTACCTTCATTATACTGAGGCAGAGAAGTCAACTAGATAAAATATACAAAACAAATTATTTATAATATTTTATTTATTCAACAAACAGGCATAAATAAAAAAAACAACATTAATTGCAAAAACAAAATTTTAAAATTGAAAGAATAAATATTTAAAATATTTTTTAAATATAATTTATTTAACGAATTTAAATAATTCTTATTATTGAAATATTTTGAGTCGATATGTTAGACTAACCTATAAAACATATTTCTATATTTTTAAATGAAAAAAATAAAGATGATAGTACATACTTTTTGAAAAACTTTTTCCCCTTGTATTATTTTTTCTTGTTTGTCAATGGTTTTTAAAATATTTTTTATTGACTCACGAAGATTTTTTTTTGCTAAAATTATTGCCATTATGAATGAAATCTCTCACACACGTCTTTATTTACTGCGCCGACTCGTTTATAAATGGTGACCGGTTTCGCAACAAAGACAGAATGATACCGAGGAAAAAGAGATACGATGCTTATATTATAACTGCTATGTACTTATAATTAATTCCTAATATTAAAAATTACTATTCAAATTCATAATATTTTTGTTTACATAATAAACTACTATTACGTTATTTTATTATCAAATTGAAGATTATATAAAACCTTCGTTGAACTTTATAAATTTTTTAAAAAACATTTATATCTTTCAAGAAGATTTGATTTAAATGGATTTCTTTTATTTCACAGGAAAATGTCAGTGTTTGGTACAGTTATCAACATTACCAGTGGCAGTGTGTTATGGCAGCGGTGTGACCAGTAAAGATGCACAAGCGAGTGCCGCTCAGAACGCTTTGGAATACTTGAAAATAATGACCAAGAAGTGAGCCAGCGCTTTGCTTCTGCCAATTGTCGTCACCACCAACAGTAAGACCAGCAACACGTTACTTTCAAAAAATCACAACAATTTAAATGATTCGAAATTTTATAGCGCCAGTAAATTACGTGGTGCAACAAAATCACAATTCCGTTCAATGGGTAATAACAATGGTTTTAAAAACAAAGATGCGAATAATTGCTCGATAACATCGCGTATTCGTGTTAATGGCACAGTAACCGAGAATCTAAAAACAAATAATAAACGCGAGAAAAATTCCATTTCAAATCATACCTTCGACAATCTTCGCGGAATAAATAACAATACGTCTGGTAATCCGTCCCAGGATCATGATTTCTCTATTTCCAAGGATTTCACATCGAAAAAAACCACTGAATCCAATTTAAAAACCCATCAGGAATACAATAAAACACGTAATTCAATTTCATCCCGATATCAACAATCAAATATTTCTTTTTCGAATCATCAAACACGTAACGATACAACATATGGTATTGGACGTAAAAATTTAGAGCAAAATATCACAAAAATGACGCCAATTAATTTTCCCCCATTACGTGCGCCACAAAGTATTGTAAATGTGCGTCATCCATTTGTCACTGAGGCACGAATAAAACATGAAATTTTAAATTCTAAAAAAAATTTAAAAGAAACGACTTATCCAAATTATGGAACTAGTATTCAAAATCTTAATAGTATAACGGCAAATATCTCGCCATATCCGCGTGCCGATTCTTTTCCACAATCAGTGACTAATGTTTTGTTTTCCGACACTGCTGCCCAATTTTCACAATCGCCCTCATTTAATACAACACAATATCAAACTTATGATCATACGGGAAATTTTACCACCACACCATTGACCATTAATCCAGTTATTCCTCAATTTTCAGCCGAAAATTCTATTACCTATCCACAATATGAAAATCAATTTGTCACACCTAATCATTATCCAACTGTTGGTCAAATTCAGGACTCTCCACTTTTTATTCAAAGTCTTCATAGTCCAATTGCAGTGACCGATCAGTACGCTGCGCCAAATTACGCCGGTGCCGTTAGAACTGAATTGATCCCACGATTGAGACGACCTCCTCGATATAATAAATAAAAAGAAAGAATTTTCATCAATTCGATGGAAATTGGGCAGATTATTTTTTTACAACGCGGACTTTATTTATTTATTTTTTTTTTTTTACACATACTAGAAATATTTCCAATTCGAGTTCCAGTGTATGCTTTTAATTTTTTTACTTTCCATGAAATTGGAAAATTAATTTTTCCAATATCTAAAGCATTTCTTGAAACCCGTTGATAGTTTCAAGAATTTTTTTGGAAAAATTATTATATACATGCGTATATATATATATATTTTATTAAATTTTTCATTGATTTCTCGATGATTATAAATTGTTTATAGATTTCTCAGTAAATATTACGAATTATTCGTATATCGATTTCTCGCTATTAATCATACTTAATGAATTCGAATAATAATTATTAAATTATAAGTACTTATAATTGTTTATTTATGATTATCAATTATAATTACTTGTAATTAATTAATTTATAATTTTCTCGAAAAAATTCATTAATTATATTCGATTCCCCTATTGTTGCTCTACATGAGAGATGCAGTGAAAATTATTTCAATTTCAGATCCATTTTGAAATAGATTTTACCTAATCTCGTATCTCACGACAAGTCGGAGCATCAAAGAGTCATCGATTTATTGACGAATTTTTACGAGACTATCAAATATTTTTTAATGTATTATAGTATTCTTCTTTTTCCACACACTGGTTTTGCTTTTGTTGAGAAGACATGGCAGGGCACTCGATAAAACAAAAAAAAAAAAAACAAAAAAAACTTAAAAAACATACAAAAAAATAGTAAAACAATATTTCTGAGTGCAGTGTCTTCAAGACTTTTTCCATTCAATAAATTGTACATAATTTACAAATGTACATTATCTCATCAAATTGTCAAAGAAAAAAAAAATGTTATATATATATCTCTCTGAAAATGGGAAATTACAACCTGTTTGCAAATGTGCAACTGGTCAAAATATACCTCGAAGAAAATAAAATTAGTCGATCGAGAAAAAAAAAATCGTTTTGTTAAAAAGAAACGTTTCGAAAAAAAATAATTTCGCGAAACAAAAAAGAAATCAACCAAAAATTTTTGAAGAAGCTCGCTAGAATACTCAATAAAGCTAGTGTTCTAAAAAAAAAAAAAAAAAAGAAACTTTGACAGATATGAATAGAGAGTATTTGACAATTACTCTTAACGAGGTATTACTGTTGAGGTATTATTACTCTTGAATAAAAATGGTAATTACAAGCTATACTTTGCATAGAATTAGTGGAGGTTTTCCAATAATTCAATAATACGTAGATTTATTGATATGTTTTTAATTTTTCTTTTCTTTTCTTTGACGGACAAATCGCGTAAATTTGGAAAATTTCTTTCCAAAAATGCATTGACGTTAAAGAAATATTGCTTCGCGATAACTATACTCGCGCTAGTTTATAATAAAAAAAAAATAAAAAAAAAAACAAATAATCTTAACCAGAGTTTCTCTCTGCTTACAAGTGGTGTATGTTTTTCCTTTAGTATAGTAGCTTATAAACTCATAAGCATCAAGTATAATATCCGTAAGGTTAATCGTTAAGGACTTCTCGTTAAATACTTTTCACAAATTTTTTAATTACTTGTGAATTGTAAACGACTCGTGTGCATTGAATTTCGAGTTGCCTATACGAATCTCAAAATAACGAATGAAACGCATTTTTGAAAAAAAGTAAAATAAATGAATCCCCCCCCCCAAACAAACAAGAAGCTCATCTTTTAAAAATTTTTAATTTTCAATCTGATTTTGATAAATTTTAAAATAATCCACAGAATCTCCTTTTTTCTCTGTGGCTTCACAAATATGACAAATAGGGCGGATTATTTGAATATCAAAATAATTTTAATATCTTCTTTCTGAGACACAGGATAAGTTACTCGTCACTCATGCTAACGTTCGACGAGAGTACACGAATCGCGCAAATAGAATTTGCGTTTTGAAACTAATAATGAATCGAAACTCTTGTCTTGTGTCAAAGTGACATACATGAAAAAAACATTTGAAAAAAAACAAAAATTAAAGAAAAATTTTGACAATTTTCTTTAATGTTCGTTTTTTGTTTTTTCGTACGTCTCTTCGACAATTTTGACAAATTTTGCAAAAAAAAAAAAAAAAATGATGAAAAGAAATGACCGATTTTTAAATGCAAAATAATAAATCCATAATGAGAAAACTCATTTCAAACCTCTCGATTCTAGTCGGAGCGTATTTTTTGATGCATGAGTTTGGAAAATAGGCATTATTTACATGCAAAGTATAGTGTGCAACGCAATCAAGTGTTTTCTAGAGTCAAAAAGGAAAAAAAAAGAACATTTTCTTCAAATTTTTTTCTTTTTTTTTTATTCACTATTTTTTTTTAGCCATTTAGTTTTTGTCTTTCTCGTCTCAATGAGATATCATTCTAGTTTTTCTTGAGTTAAAAATTAAATTTTACATTATTCGAATGTATTTAACAAAAAATAAATAAATAAAACTTCATTTTAATCAGATAAAACTAAAATGGCATCTCAAAAAATATTTTTGTTCTTTTTTTTTTTATCTTCAAATATACAGAATGTTTTCGGAAAGCTCCAACGTTTCAGGCTTACCTAGAACACTTTGCATATACTTACCATCAGAGGAAAAAAAAAAAATTTATCTAGAATAGTTGATAATTAGTGTATAGGAAAAAACGATTAATTTCGATTGCATTTTACAAAATGAAAAAAAAAAGATAATTTAAAAGCGAATTTTTGAAAGTAATGCAATCTTGCGTCTTGAATTTAATTTATAATAAAATCACGATTACGTAATTAAAAAATGTAAGAAAGATGAAAAAAAAGAGAATATTTCACGCAGTAGTGAAATAATTCCGTGATATATGACCGAAGAAATAGACGCAATTATTATAAATAATAAAAGAAAAACATTTTAAATGAAAAAAAAAAAAAAAAAAAAAATCATTTCAAATTTGTCAACAAAGTACAAAACTGTCATAATTTTATAAGTGATGATATATTGTGTGATCAGAAGACTTTCTCCACGTAATGTTTTTGATATTTTACGTTTTCTCGAACCCTTTGACAAATCAATTCATTTGCATTTAAAGAATTAATATTTGATAATATTTTACGTTTATAGAAGAAATTTTGTTTTATAATTTTTAAAGACACGAAAAAATAGCTAAACAAAAATGTTTTCTTTTTTTTTTTACGTTACAAATCATTGAATCTCTTCTGCTTTAAAATATTTTCAAAATAACTTTAAATTGAGAAATGATATTTAATGAAGACATTCATATAATAGCATTTATGAAAAACAATATTCGATGACGAATATAAAAAAACGATAGCTTTCGTCAATATTCATCAATACAACTGGTATATATATATAAATTGTAGTGGTGAAATTTTCTAAAAATTATTCAATTTGTCTAAAGATAAGTAAGAAAAAAAATTTACTGTAGGGTGAAACGTTAAATGACTGCGGAATTTTCTATATTTTAATTTATCGTTAATGAATTAATTATAATATCGATTTAATCTTAATTTATAATTTATGAAATTTAATGCGATATATTAAGAGAGAAATTTTTTTAATTGTAAATTCATTACAATTGTAATTAAAAATTAGAATTGTAATTGAAAATCAAATTGTAATTTGAAAATGTTGTGAATTTGTATTTAATATTTTTTATGAAATTTTCAATTGTTTACGATTTATGTGATTCTGTGCAACATTTATATATATCTATAGTATTAAAATTTCAAATTTTGTGAGAATATTTCATGTTTATGGAAATTTAAAAAAAAAAAAAAAATGAAAATCAACTCACAAAGAAAAAAAAAATATCACCCGGAAAGATTTTCTCAGACTTTAATTATATTATTAGCAACAGATCACTCAAAGGGATAAAGTAATGTGAGAATCCCATTGAATCTTTTGTATATGACATTTAAAATTTTTCAGGGTCACTTCCCGGTGTATGACCTTTGTCATATTTTTACATAGATTTTAAATTATTTTTTAATATTTTCTCAAGTCGAAAGTAAAACAATGACATTTTTTAAATGGAAAAATATGAAAAAAAAGAAATATATGACAATAGTATTCTTATTATTATAATTGTGATTTTTTTTTCACAGTAATTTATCTCTTTTGGTTATCAAAATAGTGTCCCAAAGTTCAAAATAATTTTTTTTTTTCCCTCCTTTTTTTGCGATATCGCGAACTAATAATTCAAATTAATTGTGATATGTTTGTCACGAAGACTTGATTTTCAAGTATGTGTATATAACTTTCGCAATTTTGTGAGAGTTCAGGATAACGCTCATATTTGTTATTGTCAATAAATTTTTTTGTTTATATACTTTTTATACTTATTTGTAAAATATAGTAGGAAAGTGTATAATTTTTTTTTGTCCAAAAAGAATCTAATTTAAAAAAAATAATTTGAAAAAAATCTTGTAAAGTAGTTAAAAATGATGTTTAAACATCATTAATGTCAAAAATAATTTTTTTTTTTAAAAAAAACTCATTTTTTTAATTAAAATAATTTTTGATTTTTGTAATTTGAGTTGAAATATACTCATGACATTGAGTCATTGACTATAATATTGTATAGTTACATTAAAATGTAAATTTGTATATTTTTTTTGAAGATACATAATTTTTTTTCTCAAATAATTTTTTTTTTTTTGTTCTTTAAGAATAATGATTTGCATATATGGATTTTGATTAATATTCAATAATAGCCCCATGAGGCAAATGAGCATTCGACACGGACATGGCATACAGATAACGACTTAATCGATGTCGACAACCCTTTCTTTACAGTTTGGGAATAATAATATATCTATAATCAATCAAGGTTGTTCTATGTATGATTGTGCGTGTAACTCTGTTAATAAACTGATGCTTATGAAAGAAGAATTTTTTTTCTTTCAAATTTCCCTTATTTTTTTGTTTTTTTGGGGGGGTTTAAAATTACACTTTTAAAGTGTAAAAATGTTTTTATTTTTAATTTAAATGGATTAATTTTTATTACAATTATTTGTCCACTATTTCTTTAAACAATTTTTTTTTGCTCGCAATATCAAAATTTTGTTACGAAAAGTTAGAATGCAGACTGTAAACTGGCTTCTGTAAATTGATCCTCCTTTTATTCTTTTTTTTATACTCTAGAACCTATAAAATGTTAAGAGAAGCATAAACCTATGTTTTCTTTCTTTCTTTGCATTCCTTCAATTCCAATACATATATATAAAAAAATACATATATACACATTCATTTTTTCCTCTTGGGAAAAATGAAGACATTTTTGTCAATATAAATTCGGAAATGAGCCTTGTGTATTAAGTATTATTTGAAATTTATTAATGCGTGACTTTTCTATAATTTTTTTTTATATTGTTTGTAAAAGTCGAGAGCAAAAAAAAAAAAAGGAAAAAATTGAAGAGTACGGAATTTGTGGTTTTATGAGGGAAAAACTCGTAACCCAGATTTGTTCATATTTTTTTTTTTATATTTGAAGCAATTTAAAGGTCCAGAAAAATGCGTTGTGGTGCATCGCGCGGTCAATTAATTATTATAGGCACGAACTCTGATGTCTGCGCCTATATATATATACTCGCACAAAACAATATATCGGCATTTCTTGAACCTTCCGAAGAATGAAGAACTTCCTCGAAACCCACTTATTTCAAATGATTACCTCTGAATTCATCACAAAAGCTCTCTCGTAAATTCTTTTCAAGTATTAGGAAAAATTTTCTCTGTTTATTTTTCTGCGTCTGCTATTCAAAAAAAAAAAAAAAAAAAAAAATTCCTTCCCCCCAAAAAAATGTTGCCAAAAAATTTACTTTTCGAAATTGTTTTCAGGAAACAGAAATTGAGCATTATTTTTGCTCTTCATGATCGATTTGATTTTTTGATAAAAATTTTGTCGACAAATTGCGTGTTTTTCTCGAGAGTAAATTTTTATCTTCTTTTTTTTCTTTATTTTCACTCATTCGTCATTTCACTTGATTCTTTTTGATGCTTTTCGCTTCATTTGCATTCCTTGGACGTCAATGCCACATCCTGTCAAGTAACGATCCAAGACGTTGTGAATGGATATATCAGCATGAAGTCTATCATTTTTTTTTTCGAAGCTATTTTCTCTTTCAACCCTCATAAAAGTTATTTGAAAAATAATTTCCAAACAATTTTTTGTTTTTTTTTGTAAAAAAAGTAGAGAAAATTTCAGAAATTTTTTAAATTCCTAACACCTTAGGGATATAATAATAATAATCATAATAATGAAGAGATCCTTTCGTGATTGCATGTCACAAACATGCGCTGCATTCTTTAGATTATTAAAATATGGTCTAATAGAGATGATCATCAAAATGCTCTAAACCGGTTCTTTCGACTAAAAAAAAAAAAAAAAAAATTATTATCGAAAAAAAATGTATTATATTGATTTCATAATTTTTAATTCACAGGGCTTTGAACTTAAAACCAGAGTAAAATCAAGGTCAATGAATCGCTTCTTATATGCTTTGAATTTATGTATAACAACGAGCTGACAATTTGAAATTTGTTTCAACTTGTTAGATTTCATTACCCTTTTTGAAAAAAAAAAAACAAAACTTGTATGGAATAGTATTTATTTGCACACATATTCTTGCAAACATAACATGTGTTTGGATAATTATGCAAGAATGTTGGTCAGACCGTTTTCTAATAAGTAGACTGGTCACGTAAAACTCAGAGGAATAATGTCATTGAGTCATGCCCCCCTTTTTTTTTTGATAATCATCATCATCACTTTTTTCTAATTTAATAGTAGTTACGCTTCATTTATATATTTTTTTTTTCAAAATAAAGTAGAAATAATTTTTCAGCATTTAAAAATTAATCGACTGACAATTTTTGGGATTGTTTGCACTGAAAAAAAAATTTTTATTTGTTTCAAATAATTTACTTGTCTGTTATCAAAATAAATATATTTATTTGATACCAAATAATTTTTATATGAATTAAATAAAGTTTATTTGAATTAAATAAATATATAATAATAAAATGCTTAGTCTGTCCTTCTGTCCTAACTTGAAGTTGGCCTTTTCTGATTTCACGTGTTTTTTTGAATTTAATTTAATTTAATTTGATTACTATCTTATGACGTGTCAAATTTTGACAATTCTTTTTCTCATTTTTGCCAAAGTTGTATAATTGTGTTTCCAAATTTCGGAATAAATTTCTTTAAAATTCCAAATTCGAAAATTCAATTCACGAAGCTAAAGTACATAACGTTTACCAACGAAATTTTTTTTAAAGTTGTATACTGATTCAAAAATTGTATACAAATACAAAAAATTTATGATGAGAAAAAAGATGCGCCAGGAAATTTCGTACAAGATAGTAATTTGAAAAAAATTTATTTTTAAAAATTAATTTTCAAGGTACCAGGGGCCAACGATTACCTATTACATATAAATTATAAAAACACAGGCCTCGCATCAACTTAAAGACACAAAAAGTCGTTTTAGTCGATTTATATTCCAAAAAAAAGTGGATTTGTTTTTTATTTTAACAAAAATATTTTACAGACTTTTAAATAAAAATTTTTTTTTTTTAAATAATAATCCTTTTCGAAGGGTTAAAGTTGACATTTTTAGAAATAATTAAATTTCAAAAGATATTGTTAATTTTCAAACAATTATTAAATTTTACAGAACTAAAAATAATTTATCAAACAATTTTTGGAAAACATTTTTTAAATTTAATTGAATTTTCAAAGATTTAAAATTGAGATTTTTGAAATTAATTGAAACATTAAGTGTTTTGTAATTAAAATTTTAGATGATTTCACTAAAAATTTATTAGATAATGCGGACAAAATACAATAATTTGAAAATCATTTTTAATTGAAAAATGGTTTCAGATAGTTAAATTTTCAAAGAATATTATTAAAATAGTTAAAAATAATTGAATTTCCTTAGAGTTATAATTGAAATTATTAAATTTCAAAAAAAAAAATTTCGATGGAAAATTTTAGAAATAATTAAATTTTAGATGCTTCTAAGTTCAAATTATTGAAAATTCAATTAATATTGAATTCAAATATTTGAGAATAATGAAATTTAATTTTGATTTTAAATTTGGAAAATAATTGAATTTCAGTTCATTTTGAATTGAAAATTTTGGGAAATAATTGAATTTTAATTGAAATTTTGGATAATAATTTAATTTATGTTCATTTTTGATTGAAAATTTGGATAATTAATTTAGAATAGAAATTTTAGAAAATAATTGAATTTTATTTCATTTTAAATTGAAAACTTGGTAAATAATTAAATTTTAAATTGAAAATTTTGGATAATTATTGGATTTTTAATTGATTTTGAATTAAAATTTCGGATAATAATTGAATTTTAGTTTATTTTGAATTGAAATTTTTAAAAAATAATTCAATTTTATTGTGATATTTTTTTTTAAATTATAAAAAATTGTTAAATTTCATAAAAATTTTAATTGAAAAATAATTTTCATATAATTGAATTTGTGATGTATTTCATTAAAATTATTAAAAATAATTAATTTAGTGAAGAATCATTTTAGTTCAAAATTTGTTAAATAATTGAATTGCAGAAGATCTGAAGAAGATCTATATTTTATACTAAAAAAATGTATTTTATTTAGATTTTTTTTCAAATGTGAAAAAAAATGTCGCATTTTATTAAAATAAGTCGATAAAAGTCGTATTTTTTAAAAAAGTCGGAAAAAGTCGTATAATCCGAGGCCTGTAAACATATTATAATTTTCATTATTATCATTTAATATCTAATAATATTCTAATAAAATTCAATATTATTGATAATATTAATCTTTAATTTCTTTATAACAAACAATTAAATATTCAATTTGGCGCGCTCGCGCGCGTTAAAGTTTGCTAGTTGTATAATAAAATAAATTTTGGAGCAAAAGTAATTTTTTTTTTTTTAGCAAATATAAAGTTATACTTTTTGAAAGAAGAAAAAAGGGTGGGACGTGATTTAATAAAAGGATTTTGACAAAATTGCGAGCTATAATGGAAACTATTGTGAAAAATTGTGAGGGCGGAAACGGAAGCTGAATGTAATTTATCCCCGCATGCAACTCGCGTTGCCCTTGAAAAGGGTGAGGAGAAGCAATACGGACATCCGAAGTATGAAGAAGTGGGAGCGGACCCAGAGTGCTTTTCTCGTCCTGAAGCTTCTTGGGGCCGGGGGCCGTTCAGTTATTGTTGCCACGTGCATGTACTTGGAACACGCGCATCGCGATCTTTTACATCGGCGTACATTCTATTCTATATTTTCAAAAAAAAAAAACGCGAATAATTTTGTAAATTTGCCATAAAAATTACCTAAAATTAATTTTAAAAAATTCTCTCCTAATCTTATATTCAACACTTTTTTTTAAAAAAAGTTTTCTTTAATTTTCAAAATTAAAATTATCAGACAATATATAAATAATAAATCCGACTGTAAATTAATTTTAAAAGATATTTTTTCAAAATTTTATTTATCAAAGAAGAAATTTTAATTTTTAAATATTTTTCAAATAAAATATTGTTTTCTATTTTTTTTTTAAGAAATAAAATAATAGTGCTTGTGTAATTTTTTTTTTAAATTAAAAAATTTTTTTATTTAACTTAGTATATATAATAACAAATCATAAACCGTTGAACGTGTGAATTTCTATATAACAAAAGACACTTCGTGCTTAAGAGCAATGAAGAAAAAAGGGAGAATAGAAGTTCTTTTTGGGATATGTACTCTGGCAGCTAGTCTGGTGAGTGAAAAGAATAGAGAGCCCTTTAATTTTAAAATGCTGTTCGTCTATTATATATATATAATAATCGTTTCTTTTTATCTCAGAAATATTTTTCAAAAAGGAATTTGAAAATATTTTTATATATTATTTAAGAAATTTAAATTTTTCTTTTTAAATTAATTTAAATATAAATAAAAAACAGTAATATAATGATAATAATATAATACAATATAATAATACAATATAATAATATATTGCAAAAATAATAATAATAATAATAATAATTGTAAAGAAAAAGTACTGTTACTATATTGAATAACGTATTTTATAGATTAATTGACTATCGAATTTTTTTTTTTTAATTCATTTATTTGTATTTATGTGATTTCACTGTAAATAATGAGTAAATATAAATTAAGTTTATCATATACTCAAATGGTTATAGAAGTACATATATATATATAAAATATATAGTATTCTTGAATGTAGCATTGAATTATAATCATTCTCATTTAGATTTTCTTTTCGGTCGATGCTCCGGATGACATTGCTTATTCTTTAAATTATCAATACACGAAAAACTATTTATCTTATTGAAAAATATAGTTCAAATCTCAGAAGAAAATATATCTAGTCAAATAAAAAAAAATTGTGACATTGAAAAAAAAAATAAAAGTTATTAAATATATAATAATTATTAAATAATTAAATTTTTATAATAAAATAATAAAAATTTATTGTATAAGAAAATTATTTAATTCTTAACGAAAATAAATATAGTTTCAGGTGTGAGGGAAAAAAATGGCAAATCTTATCGTTTGTTTAAACACCATACAATCATTTGTTTGTTTTTCTTCTTCTTCTTCTCTTTTTTCCGGACAAGAATTTAAAGGCAAAAAATTTTTTTTGAACGAAAATAGCTTTTTATTTTATTTCACTACAATCGTTATATAGCTTCAATTGATTATATTTCTAATCGTCTATATCGCTTCAATTAATATTTATTTTATTTTTTAAATTAATAATGTAAAAACAGTTAAAAAATAAGTATATTATTCTGTATATATAGATATAAACTATGTATAATGCTCTTAGGCAAAGTATTGTATTTCATCGTGCATGTAGTTCTTCATTTATGTACCTGTGGTTTTCTAAAGAGCAGTGTGTGGTTTAACGCTTGACTGTGGTGATTTAAGTACAGTACTTCAAAGTACAGAAACTCCTTTCTCTAGAAGAAAAAAAAAAACGAAAGAAACCAGAATCTTCTTTTTGCAAACAAAACCACCTAGTTTTCTCAGAAGACGTAAAATTCATATTAAAATTTTTCACATTATTACGAGAAGAACTTTCTTCAAATCGAGAATCATGTATATACAAGAAATTTTCAATTGAAGAAAGCTTCAATTTTAATGGCAAAATTTTCAATTCTCAAAATTGATGATAGCTTCAATTTTTAGTGGCAATTTTTTTTTTCAATTAATTCTCAAAATTGATGATAGCTTCAATTTTTAGTGGCAATTTTTTTTCAATTAATTCTCAAATTGATGATAGCTTCAATTTTTAGTGGCAATTTTTTTTCAATTAATTCTCAAATTGATGATAGCTTCAATTTTTAATGGCATTTTTTTTTAAATTAATTCTCAAATTGATGATAGCTTCAATTTTTAGTGGCAATTTTTTTTCAATTAATTCTCAAATTGATGATAGCTTCAATTTTTAGTGGCAATTTTTTTTCAATTAAATTGATGATAGCTTATCAATTTTTAGTTTTTTCTCATACACAATAAAGACATGTATTTTAAAACAGCATATATATAAGTTTTTAGCGGGGAATAAACTCATTTCTACACACCATCAGGAAAGAAAAGTAATTGAGATCCAAGAACCTAATGAGTTTGGCTAACGAGTGTAATTTACAATTAAATCTCTGTTCGCTAGATATCACACGACAGAAAAATTCGCGTGGGGAAAAATTACTTATCAAAATTATTTAATCAAAAAAATAATTCGAATAATCAAAAATTTTCACTTATTAAAATTTGCAAAAAAAATTAATTTTTCCTAACTGTAAATTAATTAATAAACTAAGTTTTAAACCATATATATATAATATACATAGCTTCAGTTAATACTAACTATATATATATATATCTTATAGTCCATTGTATACAGCTTCACTTAATATGGTAAAGTTTATAGTCCATTGTATAATAGCTTTAGTAAAATTTCAATAAAATTGAACATTAAAATTTATTTATTCAATTATTTTTATATTGTTTACATATTTAAAAAAAAAATTTAACACAGCTTAAAATAAATTTGAAAAAATTGAAATTTTTTAAATATTTTAAAATGAATTTTTACGACAGTAATAAATTTAGAAAAAAAACATCTACCCCGCTGCGAATTTTATATCGTGTAAAATGAAAATTTATATCACAAAAGTTTAATAATAATAATAATAATAATAATGGCTATATATATGATATATAAAGGATTAAAATTGAAACATATATGAACATTAAAAACATGGAAGTGAGTTTGCATAAAATTATAATGATAATTAAATTGAATGCTAATAGCTTCACGCATTGATTCATATAATTTCAACACTTTTTTTCTCCTTCTGTATATTATATGGTTTTTGATATCGAAAATTAATAATTATACATTATTTTACATATGCACGTGTTTTGTATAATATGACGCGAGAACATGCGTGATATATGTATATGTATACATACTCTTATTGTAACATAATATTGTGTGTATTATATATACCGGTTTGGATTCAGGGAGTAATTATATATATGTATATGTACCTTGGAGCTTCCGTAATACCTACACATTTATATATTGCGTACCTCCAACGCTGCTTTTAATTAGATCGTTCAACGACTCGATTCTTACAACCCTTCCTTATATACTTCCTTACCTTTTATATATATAAACTTTCAATCTATAATTCAAATCAAAATAAGATTCTTTCAAAAGATATTTAGAAAGCTTTAGTTTATTAATTATGTTAATTTAATAAAGTATTTTTATATTAGACTTGAACGCATATTTTTACATAATTATGTTTATTATTATATCAAAAATACTATAATTATTGCCACTGAAAAAATTATTTGATTCAAAATAATTTTACTATTTTCAAATAAATATATTTATTTCTAAATAAAATAATTTTACTATTTTTAAATGAATATATTTATTTATAAATAATTTCACTATTTTCAAATAAATATATATATTTCTATCAAATAATTTTTATTTAAATCAAATAAACTATTTTTATATTATAATACACTGAAAAAAAAAATTATTTGATTCAAATACTCGATTACTTGAGTATTATCAAATAAATATTTACTTGAACCAAATAATTTTTATTTAAATTAAATAAATTGTATTTGAACCAATAATTTCTGTATTTAAAACAAATACCGCATTTTATTGACTCAAATAATAATTATTTGATAAAAAAAAAAAAAATTATTTGATAATAGTCAAGTAATCGAGTATTTGAATCAAATACATTTTTTTTCAATGTATAAAAATAGTTTATTTCACCCAAAAAAAAATCTTCCACCTAAATCAGCGAAAGTTTTTGCTATTCTAGAGAAATATATCTCTATTCGAGGTGAAGAAATTTTTGCGTTTAGAAAAAAAAATTTTGTTGATTTAAAGAATTTCCTTTCTTTGACTTGTTTCGTTCCGCATTTAAAATAAAATTTTCTTTAATATAAAAACAGGGCTTTTGATTAAAAGAAAGTTTCTTTGAAATTTGTTCTTTAAAACAAATAAAAAAGTCAAAAAAATTTCTTTAAATCAAAAAAATCATTTTTCTCGGTGTATCAATAATTTTTGTACTTGAAACAAATAAAATCTGATTCAAATAAAAATTACTTGGTTCAAGGAAATTTTTTTCAGTATGTATAGTGTAATAATAACAAATGAGTCTTAATAATTGTAGTTTTATTAATAAGTAATAATACTAATAATAATAATAATTATTATTATTATTAGTATTACCTATTATTATTATTATTATTATTATTATTATTATTATTATTATTATTATTAGTAATAATAATAATTATTAATTATTATTATTATTACGCGATTATACAAGTTCAATTAGGGAAAAACGAATAAACAAATTAAATTTGTAAAAATTTAATACACTCACGTGAAAAAAGCAATATAACCATTGTTGCAAATAATAGTTTTGCTAGTTACACTCAATTATTTTTAATTGTTATAATGTGTATTTTTCATTTACTTGCAAACAACTTGTAAATTATTTTTAATTAGTTTATATTGGTGTGTAGCAAGTACTTCCGCTTCTAAGTGCATTATTGTTAAGTGAATAACTTTAAAAAAAAAAAAGAAAATAATAAAATTTCACAACATTGTTATCTAATCGTAATTGCCACCTTTTGTTATATATATATATATAAAACATAAGTTAATGGAAATGATGGAGAAGAATTTTTTTTTTAATTTTACATACAGGGTTGAATGTATACAAGGTTGTTAAATTTAAATTATCTCCTTTGGAGTAATTTAAAAATATTTTTTTTTTTTTGCATGTGCTTCCTTGTTATATATATATTGTATCATACTGTTTTATGCAGAAGAGCTGACCCTATTTCAAGAAAGGAGCATTATTAAAGGTTCTCGTTTCTCGATGTACCTTTATGCATGTCAAGGGGTCCAAAGTGAACAAATAAAATGCAGACTACAATGGAGGGGGCACGTATATATAACTACAACAGGGTTTAGAGGATGTGTATCATGTATATTGAGGCATTGATTTATATGTAGTTCCATTCAAGGATTCGCATTTTTCCCCTCTAAGAAAAAAAATTGCATTTTTTTTTTTGCATGAAAACAGTCTTATGTAGTTGAAATTTTTTTTATAATTGATACAGATAATAATTATTTGATACAAATAAATATTTATTCGATGCAAATAAATATTTATTCAATACTAATAAATATTTATTCGATGCAAATAAATATTTATTCAATACAAATAAATATTTATTTGATAATAGTCAACCAATTATTTGAATCAAATAAATTTGTTTCAGTGTTCATTTGAATATTATTAAATTGAACAATTATTATATATGCGATTATTTAGAAAATTATAATTATGTTATTATTATAAAAAATGCAATGCTGGTAGTCATTAAAATAATAAATAGAAGAATATAGTTTTTAATCGAAATGTTTATTATTATATGTACTTTAAAGAAAATTTATATTCCTCTAGTTATGGTCAATTATTTTAATTATATATAATATTTATAATGCATATTCTAATTCACTGGACAAGGGAATAACTATTGAAACACTTTCAACCCTCTGTCAATTTAAAACTACTCGAGCTTTGAAAAATGAATAATGCTTGCATGTCAGTAACTACCGCATATAATTATCATATATCTACTTAACAAAAAAAAATGGTCAAGTTCAACAAATTTATTTAAATTACATTCGATGACAAAAAAAAAGTAGAACTACATAGATATAACATGTGCAAATAAAAGGAGGACAAACTTTTTATCATCATTTTTTATTACTATATACGGCATATAGAAAAAGAAATTGATAAATGGAACAAATTTATCTTTCACAATGACCAATTTTTAAACAATTAGCTCATATAGAAAATATTGTAAAAGTGACATACATAAATTCAGTGTAATATAATTTTCCTAACTGTTTAATTTTTTTTCTTTTTTATAGTGCTTATGCGACATATTGCAAATAAGGACACGGAATAAAGATTTCAAAAGAGACAAATGTGTTCTACAATGAGATTTACTATTCCAAAGAATCTTTCAATTTGCATAAATGTGTAAAATTTTTCGCAAAAATTCATTTTTGCCAAAATTAACAATTTTAGTAATACCAGAAAAAAATTTATTTTATTGAAATAACTAGCAAAATTAAACGCGCGCCAAATTGAGTATTTAATTGTTTGTTATAAAGAAATTAAAGATTAATATTATCAATAATATCTTAATTTATTAGAATATTATTACATATTAAATGATAATAATGAAAATTATATATGTTTACAGGCCTCGGATTATACTTTTTCCGACTTTTTTCAAGAATACGACTTTTATCGACTTATTTTAATAAAATGCGACATTTTTTTTACATTTGAAAAAAAAAATGTAAATAAAATACATTTTTTTAGTATAAAATGTAGATCTTCTTCAGATCTTCTTCAATTCAATTATTTAACAAATTTTGAACTAAAATGATTCTTCACTAAATAATTAATTATTTTTAATAATTTTAATGAAATACATCACAAATTCAATTATATGAAAATTATTTTTCTATTACAATTTTTATGAAATTTAACAATTGTTTATAATTTAAAAAAAAAATATTACAATAAAATTGTATTATTTTTTAAAAATTTCAATTCAAAATAAACTAAAATTCAATTATTACCCGAAATTTTAATTCAAAATCAATTAAAAATCCAATAATTATCCAAAATTTTCAATTTAAATTTTAATTATTTACCAAGTTTTCAATTTAAAATGAAATAAAATTCAATTATTTTCTAAAATTTCTATTCAAAATTAATTATCCAAATTTTCAATCAAAAATGAACTTAAATTAAATTATTATCCAAAATTTCCAGTAAAATTCAATTATTTCCCAAAATTTTCAATTCAAAATGAACTGAAATTCAATTATTTTCCAAATTTAAAATCAAAATTAAATTTCATTATTCTCAAAAATTTGAATTCAAAATTAATTGAATTTTCAATAATTTGAATTTAAAAGCATCTAAAATTTAATTATTTCTAAAATTTTCCATCGAAAATTTTTTTTTTTTGAAATTTTATAATTTCAATTATAACTCTAAGGAAATTCAATTATTTTTAACTATTTTAATAATATTCTTTGAAATTTCAACTATCTGAAACCATTTTTCAATTAAAAATGATTTTCAAATTATTGTATTTTGTCCGCTTTTTCTAATAAATTTTTAGTGAAATTATCTAAAATTTTAATTAAAAATCACTTAAAGTTTCAATTAATTTCAAAAATCTCAATTTTAAATCTTTGAAAATTCAATTAAATTTAAAAAATGTTTTCCAAAAATTGTTTGATAAATTATTTTTAGTTCTGTAAAATTTAATAATTGTTTGAAAATTAACAATATCTTTTGAAATTTAATTATTTCTAAAAATTTAAACTTTAACCCTTCGAAAAGGATTATTATTAAAAAAAAAAATTTTTATTTAAAAATCTGTAAAATATTTTTGTTAAAATAAAAAACAAATCCACTTTTTTTTGGAATATAAATCGACTAAAACGACTTTTTTGTGTCTTTAAGTTGATTCGAGGCCTGTGTTTTTATTATTAATATTTAATAGGTATTCGTTGGCCCCTGGTACCTTAAAAATTAATTTTTAAAAATAAATTTTGTTCAAATTACTATCTTGTACGAAATTTCCTGGCGCATCTTTTTTCTCATCATAAATTTTTTCTATTTGTATACAATTTTTGAATTAATATACAACTTTAAAAAAAATTTCGTTGGTAAACGTTGTGTACTTCAGCTTCGTGAATTGAATTTTCGAATTTGGAATTTTAAAGAAATTATCAATTAATTATTATTAATATTATTATTATTTGAGAAAATTAAATGGTATTTATTTCAAATACAAAAATAATTGGTCCAAAAATTGAAATAAAAATAATAATTAAATATTTCTATTTTTAATAAATATATGGAAATAGTCCAAATATTTGAATAAAATAAATTTTTTTCATATAAACAAGTTATTTTTGTCATTGCAATTAATTTCTACTTAGATACATATTTTATATATATATAGGTATACATATATTGATAAACGGCTCAATTATCGACGTTTTACTTAAAAATATTGTACTCAAACTTGAAATACAAGTTTTTACATGAAAATACCATGTTAAAGAAAATATGAAGTAAAAGAAACAAAAGAAGAAAACTAATTGTGACGAAGTGAAGAAAGGATGAAGAGAAGAGTAGGATTCCATTCTTTTCTACTTTTTTACATTGTACATATAACCAGTTTGAAAATAAATTTCAAATACAATTTCTCAATAGAATGAAAAAAAAAATTTCCAATTGCCACAAGTGGAAGATAAGTAACAAGCTTACAAAAGTAGAGTATAATAACTTTCCATATATAAATCTTTATTTTAACCAAAATAGTAACGTTTATTTTTCAAATCCAAAAATAATAATAATTGCAGAAAAATTAAATTTTTTTAAAATTTTAGTTAATTTTCCTATAATGTTAATATCGATTATTGTCTATAAATAAATTTGTAAAAATGATAGATTTTATTCTCAAAATAATGAAGCTATGAATAATAATATAGACATCTTTTTTAAAATTAAAAAAAAAAAAAAAAGGAAATGACAAATTCATTGCATTCAACACATATAATATATGTATTCGAAGTAAATCGGATTAGTTTTCTGGTAAAACTTGTATGTATATATAAACTTTGTAAAAATCCTTTTCCTTTAGGCTGAATGTTCCTATATACTGCGGGATCACATTGTTTGCAGATCGTGGGAAACCGGGAAGCGATTAGTTACGAAGAAAGACCACCACATAGTCGTAAATGTGAGTGCGAATGCAATTTCAAGACATAGGAGCATCGACAATCTGAGGATTATAAAAAAAAAAGAAAAAAAAATTTGCTAAATTTTTCTACATGACCAAATTTTACAGAAAAAAAAAATTGGAAATGAATATATTATTATTATTATATTATTAATATTATTATTTCTATTATTATTTTTATTATTATTATTATTATTATTAATTAAATATGTAAATATTTTTAAACGATTGATAGAACAATGAATTTTTTTTTCTTACAGATAATAGCGGCTGCCTCACCAACAGAGAAAACATTCTTATTAGGAGAAGAATGTAGCAGAGATCGAGAGTGTGAAGGCAGCATCATGAAAAGTCGATGTTACTTGGGCTATTGTCGATGTCTACCCTTTTTTGCTGAATATAATAGCACCCACTGCTTAGAATGTAAGCTTGAGTTAATGGATATTAAAAGCAAAAAAAAAAAAAAAAAACCGTCAGAAATAAAATGACAAAAAATTTTTAATTTATTATACAATTCTTTTCTTTGTTAACGAAAGTAAAAATAATTTTAAAATTTTTATAATTTATTAATTTAATAGAAGTAAATTTTTTATTTTATTAAATATTCTTAGAGTTTGAAAATTACTTTTTCGTTAACGAAAGTGAAAATAATGAGATTTTATAATTTGTTAATTTAATAGAAGTAAATTATTTATTTTTATTTGTTAAAAATATTCTCTGTATAATTTATAGCTTGAAAATGTGAATATTATGAAACTATCTTCAATTACATTTCTTATTCTTTTATCTGTATATAAAATATGAATTTTCCTTTTAAAATAATAAACAAGAGACTTTGTTTTCTGTTATTTATCGGAAAAAAAAAAATTTTTTTTTTCTTTATTACAGCGAATCTTCTTGAACAGAAATGCCTTATTAAAGAGCAGTGCTCATTAAAGGTAGCCAACAGCTCTTGTCTCGCTGGCGTATGCAGGTGTGAAGATGGATTTTTACAGTTTCGAAAACATACTTGTTTAGGACGTAAGTTTTTGTTTTGTTTTATTTGAAACCCAATAATTGTAAATTTTTCTGCAAAATATGGCAAATTTACAAAAAAAATTAAATATTGAAAAATAAAGAAAGTAAACTAAATTAACATTTTTATTTATATATAATGAATTTTATAGTTTAGTTACTGTTTCTAATCTTTTTAAATTATGTTCATTATAATGTGTATAGAAAAATAATTTCTTGAAAATATAGTAATATAAATTCTTGCGGTCAAAGCTACATTGACCATAAAATCAAAAATGATTTCTGTGGTGTTGTCAAATTGCCAATTTAGAAATCGATATTTACTGGTTACGGCAATTTTGTGGTTTTCAAAGTATGTGAAAAATGTTTTTTTTTTTTAATATTTTTTTCGACATAAAAATTAATACAATTTTGTAATTTTATAGTGAAATGAAATAAAAATATACTTTTTGAAATTAAAAAAAAGCCCCTCTGAATATATTTGAGAATTTGTAAATAATTTTTTTTTTTTAATTTCAGCTGCACAATTGGGACAGGTTTGTTATAGCAATGATCATTGTCGATTATGGGACAGCGACACTCATTGTGATTTTTTGATTCCAAATTTATTTGGTCGATGTGAATGTACATCGCCAATGCGTCGTGATAATAATGTTTGTCGTCCCGATCGTTTGGTGAGACCGGCATTTGATTTGCAACAGCAATCTGTCCTACAGAAACCAAATGACGAAGTGACACAGCAAAATTATCCCTATAATGATGAATTCAACAATCAGGAAGTGGAAACTGGTGAGATGTTGCTTTTTTTTAAAAAAAGAAAGAAAATTGATAAATAATTTTCAAGTATTGAAGAAAAAAAAATTGAATTTCTAAAGAAAGTAAATTGAAGTTAAACGTAATTTTACAAAAAAAAAATATTGATACGAATACATGTCTAAAAATTATTTATTCAAATAAATTATTATTTATTAATTTTTAATAATACTCGAATTTTATTTATTTGATAATTAATTAATTTTCATATTTTATTTAGAATATGTGATGAATATATTATTTTTTTTACAGGTGTTCAAATATCGTGGTTGAAAAATGCAAGTTTACTGCTTTCAACTTCTCCAACAACAGATTCGGGGCCTCTTTTAATTGTTACAAGACCATCTCAAAATCATTTGAAACCAATTCACAATCGTAATAATGATTTGCCTGAAGAAAATGATTCTGTTGTTGTCGATGCAATGATAACCGAACTCATTCAGATTACTTCTTCTCCAGCCACTGTTTCAGGTACCTAGATATTCCTAAATAATTATTTGTTAAACATTACCAATTTCTATAGCTTCAATTATTATTTTGCAATTAATTTTACCTTCAGTAAATGGTATTTTCAATCAATAAAACTAATTATTCGAATCTAAAGATACTACGATTTTTTCCTCAAAAATAATGATTATTTATAGAATAATTTAAACTCTATTTATGGTATTCGTAAATGATTTTGATTAAAAAAATTTTCAGTTCCAATGAAGACAGAACGACATGAGGGCGGAAATATCATCAGTCTTGGTTTGCCATGTACAGCGAACATTGAATGTCAAATGTCAGATTCTAATTCACGATGCATTAATGGTGTATGTGATTGTAAGTCGTACGGAAAAGGAAACGCAACTTGTAGTGCACAAAAAAATGGTTGCGCGCCTGGTACTTTTCAATGTCGAAGTACCGGAACCTGTATCAGTTGGTTTTTTCTATGCGATGGTAAACAACACTGTTCAGATGGTTCAGATGAGGCATGCTCCACGATTGCACAATGTCCAATTCAAGCGTTTCGTTGCCACAGAAGTGGTACATGCATTTCCAGAGCTGGACTATGCAATGGTCATCGCGATTGTCCCAATGGTGAAGATGAGGAAAACTGTCGCAATAATCGAAGAAGTAATTTTTTAATTCATTTAAAATAAATAAATAAATTTAATTTTTGTATTTATTTATAAAAAAAAAAATTAATTTATATTTTCTAGGATGCCCAGAAGGAGCATTTCGATGCAATAATGGACAATGTTTGCCAGCTTATGAATTTTGCAATTCAGTTATTTCGTGCCGAGATGGAAGTGATGAACCACACAGTACTTGTCAAACAAATAATAAAGGTCGAGTATCATCCAAATTCTGTCCTTTCAAATGTAAAAACGGAAGATGTAGATCTGATGCAATTACATGCAGCGGTAGAGATGGTTGCGGTGATAATTCTGATGAACTTCATTGTTCCGTATGCAGTGAGTATTAAAAAAAATTAACTAACAATTTATTATTATTATTTTAATAATAATAAATAACTATTAATAATTAAAATCCAGGTTACAATAATAAATAATTAAATTTTAATCTTGATTTTATCACCTTTAACTCCTAAATTACTTTTTCACATCGTAATCCATTTTTTTTTTTTTACTGAATAATTATATAATTCTTGTAAATTTAATTAGATTGAAAACAATGACGCTAAGAGTTTTTCATAATAAAGGGAATAAAGTTAACTGACATTTTATATACAATAAATATTATATATATATATACCTATACGTATATAATGAGGCTGAGTGTATTATAACAATATTATCAGTGGCAACAGAAGGTGGGCGTGCGATCTTTTCTCATGGGCATTAAATCATATCACTGAACATAATAAGATAAAAAACATATTATATATATATATATATATACTCAACATTACACAGGAAGTTAATTGTCGACTTTGAAATCATTACAGGATGTGCTGATGTGCCTTAATTGTCCAACTTAAGGAACCAGTTCCTTTTAACAACTTGCCGTGAAGCAAACTTTATTGTCATCAATGCGAAGATAAATTGAACAGAAAAAAAGACTTTTTATTTTTATCTATAAAAATAGATATTTGCAAGATTTGAATAAGAATGAGTTACAGAAAATAATTTTTATTTAGAACGTTTGATTTTTGCACACTGAGAAACAAAATATAAAAAAAATTTGTTAAAAAAAATCATGGTTGCTACAAATAGCCAAAGAACAAATTAAAATTTTTTTTTTTTTGAAAATGAGACATATTTTTTTGGCTGTTTCTATTTCGCCCGTCGCGGGCGAACTAATTCATTTCTGTTATTTCGCCCGTCGAAATGAATGTGTTTTAGAAAACGGGCAAAATAAGAAAAATAGATTATTTCGCCCGTTCAAGATAAAATCGAGTATCTGGAAGACGGGCGAGTATATTATTTCGTCCGTTAAGTATAGACAGCTGTTTTTTAGATAATGAGAAAAAATAATTTTACTTTTTTTAAATGTAACAAATAAGATGGATAGAAAAAAGACGTCTGAGTATAGGTCTAATATTATTTATTTATATCTTTTGGAGTATTTGGTTTAATAAAATAGAAGAAATTTAAATAAAAAAAAAAATTCTTAAAAATTCTTTAAATTCTTAAAATTCTTAAAAAATTTTATTAATTAAAGTTTTGAGAATATTTGTAACATAAAATTTGTTTGTAATTATTAACTTGAAGATTTTTCAAGTATGTATTTATTTTACACGTTTTTGAGACGTGACTTAATTAATAATTATTATTCTTTAAAGTCACGTCTCAAAAACGTGTAAAATAAATACATATTTGAAAAATCTTCAAGTTAATAATTACAAACAAATTTTATGTTACAAATATTCTCAAAACTTTAATTAATAAAATTTTTTGAAAAAAAATAGAAAATAATTAAGTATTAATTTTAAGAATTTAAAGAATTTTTAAGAACTTTTTTTTTATTTAAATTTCTTCTATTTTATTAAACCAAATACTCCAAAAGATATAAATAAATAATATTAGACCTATACTCAGACGTCTTTTTTCTATCCATCTTATTTGTTATATTTAAAAAAAGTAAAATTATTTTTTCTCATTATCTAAAAAACAGCTGTCTATACTTAACGGACGAAATAATATACTCGCCCGTCTTCCAGATACTCGATTTTATCTTGAACGGGCGAAATAATCTATTTTTCTTATTTTGCCCGTTTTCTAAAACACATTCATTTCGACGGGCGAAATAGCCAGTTCACACAGTCGTATCTATTTCGCCCGCGACGGGCGAAATAACAGAAATGAATTAGTTCACCCGCGACGGGCGAAATAGCCACTCCGTATTTTTTTAAGACTGAGTAAAATGTAGTTATTTTTTTTGGATAAATGATAGTTTGTAGAGGTAGTGTATTTATTTTTGTGTATGTGTAAATTGTAAGCCATTTTATTTTAGTTTACAATCTTTATATTCGGCGGGCATTAAGCAATTTTCGTAATATTACTATTTTTTTTTACTATTTCTACATTATAATTTTAATTGAGGTTTTTCAAGTTTACTGCAATTATTAATATTACGTATAATTATTATTATTCAATGTAATATTGTTTTTTTATAGGGGAAACTGGGTCAAAATAACTTTTCTTATTTACCCCACGGCTGAGGTAAAGTGGATTTTCCAAAATATCTTTTCAATTTACATATTCGAAACAAAAAGAGAATTTTTTAAACCTGCTTTTATAAAATTAGTAAATTATAATAATTTTTAAATGAAGAGATCTTTAATTAAAAAACCCTTTGCCTCGACCAACCGTTTTACCCCAAATTGTATATCTTATAATAAGAAATTATAATATAAGTCTTTTACATTAAAATAGATCTCCTAAGCTTAATAACAAACAAATTAATATTATTTCATATTTTACGATATAGGCATATTATAAAATAATATATAATTTATATTAATAATTCTTTCGACGAAATTAATTATTGTAATTTTAATTTGGTTTACATGATATGCGAGTTTCAGTCCAATAATATCTAATACTAATAATTTTTAATATAATTCTTTATTAAAAATTCGTACCACAGTTTCTTAAATAATTGTGAACATTTAGTTTGTAAAAAAAAAAGAAAATTAAAAATATAAGTATGAGATATAATCTTTTCACGCCAAGAGTAATTATCAAAACCCCTATTATTGAAAACTACCCTTCGTCTTTAAATGACAAGCGTAATACACCCTGCTATATACATGCAATTGTCGGGAGAAGTTAGTCTTGCGCAATTCAAAAATTGTTGGCTCAGTCGGAAATCGTTCTGCCTAAAGAGAGCACGCAAAGCGACAAGTATTTCATATTCCGCTTTTCTTTTACATATTTTACAGTCAAATTACAATAATATTTATCTGGATATCATAATTTATTAGGTAATTATTTAATTATATGAAATTCTTAATACTTCAAAATCATATAAATTTATATTATTTTCTGTAATTATTTTCACTGTATATGTAATATTTCAAACTTTATAATATATTCTGCCGCTTTATTGATGTTTTTTTAAAGAGTTTTATATAAAATTTAAATTAATGACAATTTTTATTTTGAAAGAAAAAATTATTTCTACATTATTTTTTGTTTACTTTTTCACACCTAGAATGAAAAATATATTTTTCTCAGAGCTTTTTCAAAAGGAGTTTATATTTAATTTAAGTTTAATAATAGTTTGATTGGGTCAAAATAATATTTTCGTGACTGACCTAGAGAACGTCTATAAGCTTCATAAATTTTGTGTTATACTCTAATCTATAGTTCATTACAGATGATATTTTGCTATAGAAAAAAATATATTTATAGCACATTAATATCAATTTTTAAATAAATAATAAAACATTTTTTTAATATAGAAAAATATTATTTATTAAGAAATTTCAATTTTTGTTATTTTCTTAATAATTATTTTAATAATATAATGTTTATAATAATAATCGAAATCTTTTTTTAATTTTTTAATTAATATTTTATTGTTAGGAATTTTTGTTTTAATTTTAAAACTTGTACAATTTTCAGTGTATTTTATATTCACGCAGGATTTTACGAAAAAATAATGTCAAAATAGGAAATTCCTAATTGAAAAACAAAACACACATGGAAATAAAAAAGAAGAACATAAAAATGATTGTTTATAATGATAATCATAAGATATTACAAAACGAATATTTATGTAAAAAAGTATTTAGGCATTTAAAGAATATTACAAATGTTAGAAGAAAATTCGTGAAATTGATTGTCGATGTATGCCAATCTTGATCAGGTAATCTAGTGGAAAAATGATAAAATTGAAGTTAATCCGACTTAAAGAATTTTGTTGCCATGGACCCGGATTTGTACTACTAATTCTGCCATGTATTTTACTTTTGACATTGTATTTATTCACTGGAAATGAATTTGATAAAATACAGTATTACTCATATAAATCGTACAATGATGCAGGTAAATTATTATTATTATTATTTATATTTTGCTAATCAAAGAAATTTACATTTATTATTATTTTTTTCAGTTACTGTCGATGGGTTTTTGGTTTGGAATTCAAAATGTCATATGCCCTCAAAAAGTCTTCTCGATCCGTCCATAGTGAAATTTGTAAAAAAGGAGAAATTTCAAACTTGCACAAAATCACCACTTTTAACATCGATTATTCAGGACAAGAATGGTGATAATATTTTAATGTTAAATCTTAATGAAACTAAACATCTTAAAAGTATCTTTTGCTGTTGGGCTCCGATTAATAGACCAATTCCGAAGAAACCAAATCCTCAAAAAAATTTTGATTCATCTATTACGTAAGTAACAACAATTATATAGAAAATACAAAGGAAATTTAATTAATTAAAATGTTTTTTTTAATAATAATTTATTTAATTTTAATACTTTATTTATTTTAATTATATTTAATTTAATAATAGTTCAAAAAGTTAAAAATTGGTATAAAATTTTTAAAAATTAATAATTAATAAAATTGTTAAACAAATGTAATTGAATGTATTTTTTAATTCTAATTTTCTATAATGTTAATACAGAATACAAAATTGTGTCGATTTCAATATCTCAGTCATCATACCAAAGGAAGTTGATACTCTGATGGTTTCCTGTAAAGATAAAAAAGAAATTAGTGTTAAAGCAAAGGGAAAATTAAAAAATACAAAACACCCTGTAACAATTTATCAAAATGTCCATTCAGTCATTAATGTGGATAAAGTTTCTGATCGTTTTAATATTTCATCTGACAATAACAATAATATGACGAGTCGCCATCAGAGAAAATTAAGTGTCTTATTATTGGGTATTGATAATGTTTCACGATTAAATCTCGAGAGAAATTTGCCAAAGACAACAAATTATCTTCATGAAAAAGGATGGTTAATAATGAAGGGCTATGATAAAATGGGTGAAAATACATTTCCAAATTTAATGGCAATTTTAACTGGTCAACAACAAACTGATTCTTATGACAAATGTAAGCCGACAAATCCATTTGGCCTTGATCATTGTCCAATGTTATGGTATAATTTTAGAAATGCTGGGTATGTCACAGCTTACGCTGAAGATGAAGCTAAAATTAGTACTTTCAACTATTTAAAGGTCAGTTGAACAAATTATAATTAATTTTCTGTTTACTTTTCTATTTAACAATTAGACTCAAAAAATATTGTTATATACTTTTGTTTCTTCCGATTAGATAAATTCTTTTAAAGTTTCATTTTAATAAAATCTTCTCTATTACTATTTTTTTATACTATTTTAATTTATTTTGTATCTTCTTTCCTAATATAATTCGATTCCATATACTTTCTTCTTTTAAATTTATATTTTACATTATTTTCTTATATATGTATGTTTATCTTTTTTATATATTATAAAATTTTTTCTTGAAAGGAATAAAAAATTGAAATTAAAGAAAATGAGGATAAATAAAAGAGTAATTATAATTTTTCAGGTTGGTTTTGTGGATCCTCCAACTGACTATTATCTCAGACCTTATATACTGGCAACGGAAAAATTGCTAAAGTCTCGTCGAAGATTTGCAAATTATTATTGCACTGGTCCAGAAGTGGCGGCCGAAAGAATTCTCAATTCTGCCGTTGATTTTGCAACAAAATTCCAAGGTGTTCCATATTTTGGTTTTTTTTGGACAAATTCAGTGAGTCACGATTCAATTAATGGCCTATCATCAATGGATACACATATCCTCTCAAGATTAGAATATCTTGAACATGAAGGAATAATGAATGATACAATGATCATTTTTTTAAGTGATCATGGAATGAGAATTGGCGATATTAGAATGACATTTATGGGATGGTACGAGGAGAGATTACCATTTTTTTACGTTTGGCTTCCACAATGGTTTCGCGATGAAAATCCTGAAGTCTATGATTCATTGACAATTAATCAAAATCGATTGACATCACCATTTGATCTTTATGAAACATTACGTGATATTGTAATAAGAGGTGGTGGCGAAGCTGGACCAAGTACCGGATGTCCTAAATGTCGATCACTTTTCAAGACAGTTCCTGTTGAACGGGGATGTGAAGATGCTGGTGTACCACCACATTGGTGTGTTTGTTCAGCTTTTGAAAAGGACAATGCCTCTAGTCAAATTGTCGTTCGAGGTGCACATAAAATACTCGATCATATTGAAAATATTGTCAAAAATTATAAGACAAAAAAGGGCAAACGTTTATGTGCAAAATTTAAATTGAAAAAAATTCATCGAATTCATAAAGTTATAGATTTAAATAATAGTAATTCTACTTCCAGTACAGAATATTTTTATATGATTCAGGTAACACCTGGTGATGCAAAATTTGAGGCGACAATACATTATTACGGGTCTGATAATTATAATGTTACTGAAGAACAAATAAGCAGAATAAATTCATATGGACCTGGTTCAAAGTGCCTCGATCATGGCCAAAAGAGGTACTGTCACTGTATCAAGTGAATAAAATTTTAATTATACTTAGAAAATAAAATTCTGGATGCAATTATCGTCTCTAGACTGTCCTAAATACGCAGAGGATTCTTATTCATTCCATTTGCATCTCTTTATAGTGAAGAATCTGTTATTCTATAAATTTTTAATTACTCTTTATTTTAAATTTTAATAATTAAAATTATTAGTATTTTTGTAAGAATATATGTTAACTGTTTTTCACTTGTTAGGCCATTCACATGAGAGTAATTTTTTATATAAATGATATTATTGACGTGAATTCAAATTTTTTTATTTATTATTGCGTACTATATTATATATTGAAAATTATTAAAAATGACATATTTATAAATTATGCACTTTATTATAACTTTAATGTAATTTATTTTTATGTTATATTTTAATGAAGTTATCATCTCTCAGGAAGTAAAATGAAATTTTGTTATAAATGAAGATAAAGAAAGAAATCGCATATAATGGGTTTTAATCTTATATTCATGTTTGTAATTTATATAATAAGAATAAGGTGCTACTAAATTAAATTTACTACAAATATTTAAATAATTTCAAATGGTTAATTAATTAATTAATTTAAATAGTTAAATAAATTCATAATGATATTAATTATAAAAATATAAGTTTTTACACCCTGAGAAATTTTTGAATTCAATTAAATATAGTTTAAAATATATTTTTTCTCTTGATTATAAAGTGTTTAGCGTTTTATATACAATTTAATAAAAATTTCACATATCATGTTATTGTTCATTGCAAAATATTATTAATAGCAAATACTTTTTATTCTTAAACCCGTTAAACTAAAAGTTTTCTTTTAAAATTTATTTATATTAATTGAAATTATAGTATGTGCGAAGATAAAATGAAGATATAAAAATGTACATATATGTAAAATAATGCTGTATAAATTTAAATTGTAAATTTTACTTGACAATTTTCTATAATATATCAAAAAAATATATATACAAATGTTTTTTAAAAACTTGTAGTATTCTCTTATTTTATATATGATAATTTATTCATTTTCACAAGCTTCTTTATATTTTCTACTTGAAGCACATTTTTTCTATTGTTGAATTTAATATTAAAAAAAAAATTTTTTTTGATAAAAAAATGTTCATAAATGGTGTTTTTTATCTTATAATAAGAAATAAATTTTGAAATTTTTATCATATAATCTTATCAAAATTTAAATAATCGTTATAAAATATTTAAATGTCAATGGAAAACAATTATATGGGAACATAATTAGATCTATGAACTATATACAAGAAAATATTATTATCTATTAGAATAATGTTAAAATTTTTTTTGACTAATGACAAACTAATGTCTTTCGAAAGTAGAGTTCCTTTTAGTCGTGAATAGTACTTCTCCCTAAAAGCATCTCTAAAACTGAACCTCTGGAAAGTAAAACTACACGTAAAATTTTGACCTCCATACTAATTTAATGGGAGTCAGAAGTTTATCTCCCAGTGGGCAAAAAATCATATTCGTTTTAAAAATGTTTTAAGAATGTTTTTAGAGCGTTTCATGTCTGCCAAATAATATTTTGAAACATTTTAAGAACAGAGGTGTTCAAAATTTCAATGTGCGGTAACAAAAAACTTTTAAGTGGATATAAAAAACTATTTGTTCACTATGAAAAAACAAAAACAAAATGAATTAACAACGAAAGTATATTGACGAATTAACAAAAAAAAAAAATTGTTTTGTTAAGGAAGAGTAGTTAACTAGTGTAAAATGATGATAAAAAAGTTCATCATGTTCAAAGAGAACAATAACTATAAAAGTCTTCTTCTGATGTTGTTTCTATTTATCATGTATTTTTTTATTTCGATAAGATTTAATTACACAATTTATGATAAATCTGATAAATATGGTAAACAAATTAAATTTACACATTAAAAAGAATACAATTATTTTAAGATTTTAAATTAGAGCCTAGTAAAAGAGAATGTATTTTTTTTACTTCAGTTATTCCCGATGAATATTTAATTTGGAATTCAAAATGTCATATGCAATCGAAAATTCCTTACGATAAGTCCATTTTGAAATTTATCAAAAAGGAAGTTTATGAAAATTGTTCGAATTTACCGCTGTTAACATCAATAATTCAAGACGAAAATGGACGAAATATATTAATTTTGAAGACAAACGAAAGTGAACATTTTAAAAATTTAAATTGTTGTTGGTCTCCAATTGTTAGACCCATTCCTAAAGAACCAAAATCAAAGGGTAAATTTGATTCAGTTATTACGTAAGTAAAAAATTTTTATTTAGAATTTAATGGATAATTTAAATTTTATTTCTCGCATATTAAAATAAAATCTATTTATAGATATAGAAAATAAATTTTTAATATATTAAAAGTCCATCTATTTTTTATATTTACAGAGTTGAAAATTGTATTCACTTTAATAATTCAGTTGTCGTACCAAATGAAGTGGATATTCTTATGGTGACTTGTAATGAAGAAAAATACAAAACCAAATTGAAAAACGAAAAACGGAATAACGTGCCAATTTACAAAAATGTGCATTCAATAATAAATGTTGAAAAAGTTTTAAATCATCTAAATAATTCTCAAAATGTAAATGTGTCAAAAGGAAGGAAAAGATTAAGTGTTCTTTTGTTGGGTATAGACAATGTGTCGAGATTAAATTTCAACAGAAATCTTCCTAAAACAGTAGACTATCTTGATGAGAAAGGTTGGCTATTAATGAAAGGCTACAATAAAATGGGTGAAAATACATTTCCAAATTTAATGGCAATTTTAACTGGTCAACAACAAACTGATTCTTATGACAAATGTAAGCCGACAATTCCATTTGGCCTTGATCATTGTCCAATGTTATGGTATAATTTTAGAAATGCTGGGTATGTCACAGCTTACGCTGAAGATGAAGCTAAAATTAGTACTTTCAACTATTTAAAGGTCAGTTGAACAAATTGTAATTAATTTTCTGTTTACATTTCTATTTAACAATTAGACTCAAAAAATATTGTCATATATTTTTGTTTCTTCCGATTCGATAAATTCTTTTAAAGTTTCAATTTTATAAAATCTTCTCTATTACTATTTTTTTTTACTATTTTAATTTATTTTGTATCTACTTTCCTAATATAATTCGATTCCATATAATTTCTTCTTACAAATTTATATTATCTTTCTTTTTTTACATTATTTTCTTATATATGTATGTTTATCTTTTTTATATATTATAAAATTTTTTCTTCAAAGGAATAAAAATTGAAATTGAAGAAAATGAGGATAAATAAAAAAAGTAATTATAATTTTTCAGGTTGGTTTTGTTGATCCTCCAACTGACTATTATCTCAGACCTTATATACTGGCAACGGAAAAGTTGCTAAAGTCTCGTCGAAGATTTGCAAATTATTATTGCACTGGTCCAGAAGTGGCGGCCGAAAGAATTCTCAATTCTGCCGTTGATTTTGCAACAAAATTCCAAGGTGTTCCATATTTTGGTTTTTTTTGGACAAATTCAGTGAGTCACGATACAATTAATGGCCTATCATCAATGGATACAAATATCCTCTCAAGATTAGAATATCTCGAACGTGAAGGAATAATGAATGATACAATGATCATTTTTTTAAGTGATCATGGAATGAGAATTGGCGATTTTAGAATGACATTTATGGGATGGTACGAGGAGAGATTACCATTTTTTTACATTTGGCTTCCACAATGGTTTCGTGATGAAAATCCTGAAGTCTATGATTCATTGACAATTAATCAAAATCGATTGACATCACCATTTGATCTTTATGAAACATTACGTGATATTGTAATAAGAGGTGGTGGCGATGCTGGACCAAGTACCGGATGTCCTAAATGTCGATCACTTTTCAAGACAGTTCCTTTTGAACGGGGATGTGAAGATGCTGGTGTACCACCACATTGGTGTGTTTGTTCAGCTTTTGAAAAGGACAATGCCTCTAGTCAAATTGTCGTTCGAGGTGCACATAAAATACTCGATCATATTGAAAATATTGTCAAAAATTATAAGACAAAAAAGGGCAAACGTTTGTGTGCAAAATTTAAATTGAAAAAAATTCATCGAATTCATAAAGTTGTAGATTTAAATAGTAGTAATTCTACTTCCAATGCAGAATATTTTTATATGATTCAGGTAACACCTGGTGATGCAAAATTTGAGGCGACAATACATTATTACGGGTCTGATAATTATAATGTTACTGATGAACAAATAAGCAGAATTGATTTATATGGACCTGGTTCAAAGTGCCTCGATCATGGCCAAAAGAGGTACTGTCACTGTATCAAGTGAATAAAATTTTAATTATACTTAGAAAATAAAATTCTGGATGCAATTATCGTCTCTAGACTGTCCTAAATACGCAGAGGATTCTTATTCATTTCATTTGCATCTCTTTATAGTGAAGAATTTGTTATTCTATAAATTTTTAATTACTCTTTATTTTAAATTTTAATAATTAAAATTATTAGTATTTTTGTAAGAATATATGTTAACTGTTTTTCACTTGTTAGGCCATTCACATGAAAGTAATTTTTTATATAAATGATATTATTGACGTGAATTCATATTTTTTCATTTATTATTGCGTACTATATTATATATTGAAAATTATTAAAAATGACATATTTATAAATTATGCAGTTTATTATAACATTAATTTATTTTATTTTTATGTTAAATAATAATTTATTACATTGTATACTAAATAAAAGTTTTTTACAAACTTTTCGCCTTCGTTAAACTAAAAATTTTACTTAAAAATTTGTTGGCGGGAAAATAAAAATTGAGGGCAATGATAATTAGTGGGAAATTAGTAAAATGAGGGAAATATTAGATGGACGAGGGCTAGAAATGACTGTATTTGTTATAAATTTAAAATTTAAATATCAAATATGTTAATATTTTAATTTATTTAAATAAATTTTACTTTGTTTTTGATTATAAATTAAATACTGGTGATTTTATTTAATTTTTGGCGAAACCTCGTGTCATTGAAATCTCTCTATTTCTTTGAATTAAAATTATCTCTGACAAATTCATTTATATTAATTAAAATATTATACTATGTGCGAAGATGAAATGAAGATATATGTAAAATAATGCTTCATAAATTTAAATTGTATACTTAGAATATGTAAATATTGACAATTTTCTATAATATAACAAACAAAAATATATAGAAATATTTTTTAAAAACTTGAAGTATTCTTATTTTATATATTAATTTATTCATTTTCACAAAAAAAGCAAATAATTCCTTAGATTATTAACACGTTCACAGGTTTCTTTAAATTTTTCACTTTGAAGCACTTTTTTCCAATTGCTGAATTTGATATTTAAAAAAAAAATTCGTAGAGGGTTTTTTCTTATCTTATAGTAAAAGATAAATTTTGATTTTCTAGTTATATAATTTTATAAAAACTCAAATAATCGTGATGAAATATAAATGTCAATATTAAAAAGTTATTGATACTTAAATGTATGTACCATATACAAAAAAAAATTATTATCTATAAGAATAATATTAAAATTTTTATATACTACAATGATAAATTGTCTTTTTTTTGTAAGTAAAGTTTCTTTTAGTCGTGAGCAATACTCTTTCCTGAAAGCATATCTAAAACTTATGAATTCATATCAAAGTGAAATTTAAATGTGTGGTAATCAAAAACTTTTAAGTGCATATAAAAAATTATGTTTTCACTATGAAAAAACAAAAACAAAATGAATTAACAACGAAAGTATATTGACGAATTAACAAAAAAAAAAATTGTTTTGTTAAGGAAGAGTAGTTAACTAGTGTAAAATGATGATAAAAAAGTTCATCATGTTCAAAAAGATAAATAACTATAAAAATCTTCTTCTGATGCTGTTTCTATTTATCATGTATTTTTTTATTTCGATAAGATTTAATTACACAATTTATGATAAATCTGATAAATATGGTAAACAAATTAAATTTACACATTAAAAATAATACAATTATTTTAAGATTTTAAATTAGAAAAAATGTATTTTTTTTACTTCAGTTATTCCCGATGGATATTTAATTTGGAATTCAAAATGTCATATGCAATCGAAAACTCCTTACGATAACTCCATTTTGAAATTTATTAAAAAGGAAGTTTATGAAAATTGTTCGAATTTACCGCTGTTAACATCAATAATTCAAGACGAAAATGGACGAAATATATTAATTTTGAAGACAAACGAAAGTGAACATTTTAAAAATTTAAATTGTTGTTGGTCTCCAATTGTTAGACCCATTCCTAAAGAACCAAAATCAAAGGGTAAATTTGATTCAGTTATTACGTAAGTAAAAAATTTTTATTTAGAATTTAATGGATAATTTAAATTTTATTTTTCGCATATTAAAATAAAATCTATTTATAAATATAGAAAATAAATTTTTAATATATTAAAAGTTCTCCTATTTTTTATATTTACAGAGTTGAAAATTGTATTCACTTTAATAATTCAGTTGTCGTACCAAATGAAGTGGATATTCTTATGGTGACTTGTAATGAAGAAAAATACAATACCAAATTGAAAAACCAAAAACGAAATAACGTGACAATTTACAAAAATGTGCATTCAATAATAAATGTTGAAAAAGTATTAAATCGTCTAAATAATTCACAAAATGTAAATGTGTCAAAAGGAAGGAAAAGATTAAGTGTTCTTTTGTTGGGTATAGACAATGTGTCGAGATTAAATTTCAACAGAAATCTTCCTAAAACAGTAGACTATCTTGATGAGAAAGGTTGGCTATTAATGAAAGGCTACAATAAAATGGGTGAAAATACATTTCCAAATTTAATGGCAATTTTAACTGGTCAAGGAGAAGAAGACGCATGTAAAAAATGTAATCCAACTGTTCCATTTGGTCTTGATAATTGTCCAATGTTGTGGTACAATTTTAAAAATGCTGGATATGTTACAGCTTATGCTGAAGATGAAGCTGATTGGTCTACTTTTAATTATTTAAAGGTTCTCTACAATATCGTTTATTGATTTTTAAAGTAGTTTATAATTTTACTAAAGAAATATTTTTATTATCATATTAGCTAATTATGATTTAGAATGATAAATACTTGAAGATATTATTAAATTTAAACATTTTCAGGTTGGTTTTGTGAATCCTCCAACAGATTATTATCTTAGACCTTATATAGTAGCAACTGAAAAATTACTTAAGACTCGTAGAAGATTTATCAATTATTATTGCACGGGTCCTGAATTAGCGGCAGAAAGAATTCTAAATTTTGCAGAAGATTTTGCCATTCGCTTCAAAGATCATTCATATTTTGGTTTTTTCTGGACCAATTCGATTACTCACAATTCATTAACAAGCTTATCGATATTGGATTCTCAGATTCATTCAAGATTGAAACACCTTGAACAAAAAGATGTGATGAATGATACAATAATTATTTTTCTAAGTGATCATGGTCTGAGATTTGGTGAATTTAGAAATACTTTTATGGGTTGGTATGAAGATAGACTGCCTTTTTTTTATATTTGGCTTCCTCAATGGTTTCGCGATGATAATCCTGAAGTTTATGAAGCATTGACAATTAATCAAAATCGATTAACATCACCATTTGATCTTTATGAAACATTACGTGATATTGTAATAAGAGGTGGTGGCAATGCTGGACCAAGTACCGGATGTCCTAAATGTCAATCACTATTCAAAGAAGTTCCCATGGAACGTGGATGTGAAGATGCGGGAATTTCAACACATTGGTGTGCCTGTTCAGTATTTGAAAAGAAAAGTGATAATTCTAATCAAATTTCTCTTCAAGGGGCGTATAAAGTAATTGATTATATTGAGAATATCGTTAAGAATTATAAAACCATAACTGCAGAACGTTTGTGTTCAAAATTTAAGTTGAAGAAAATTCTTCGATTTTTCGAAGTCCCTAATAAAAATACTAATTCAACTTCAAGTAGAGATTATTATTATATTCTTCAATTATCACCTGGTGATGTAAAATTTGAAGTGACAGTACATTATTTAGGATTTAATAATTACATTATTAATGATAAAGAAATTAGTAGGATAGATTCTTATAAAGAAAGTGCAAAATGCCTTAATTACGGCGAAAAGAAATTCTGTCACTGTATCAAGTGATTTAATAACATTTTAATTGCAGATTATGATTCTAGATGTAATATCCGAATTTTTCTTTTAATTATCATTATGAAAATAAAAGAATACTTTTTTAAAATAACTATATTGAATTTTTATTTAAATAATTTTTTTTACAATTTATAGTGAAACTTATATTTTATTTTCAAATAATTAATAACTGTAATGAAGTTAATATGTTTCCCTAATTTTATTAAAGATACAAGTAAATAAATCTTTTTAGTCATTTTTCTTCGTGTATAAAATCTGTCATTCATTGCTTTCAATACTGTTTTTTTTACTAATTTTTCTATTTTTAAAATTTCTACTATTATACAATTTTTACAAACTTACTATATTTTTCTGTGTTATCTAAACACAATTTTCTAAATAATTTAATTGAATTAATAAAATACTTTTATTCACAAGAATAGAATTTTTTCTATTTTTTTTTGTTTCTATTTATCTTTCTATTTTCTAAATTCTAAAATATTAAAATTGAATAATATTATATTCTTTTAGTAATTATTATCAACATCGGTTGTAGAACTAGAAAAGCGTTTTCTTTCAATTGTATAATAATTATTATCATCTCTCTTTGAAAAATGACTCGGTGTACCAAAATGTGTTGTAGCTCTCGATGAATTTCTTGTACAATTATTTATATCTTTCTCACGTCTTGCAATGAAAGAATCGAGTATTCTAATTCCCTCATAGAGACTCTCGAGATCGCATTTTGAACATTGATTATTAGCACAAGATTGAGCTAATGATAATGATCGTTCATTATGAATTTTTGGTGTATTAAATGGAGTATTATTTGGACTATTAGAATCATAGGTACTTGAATATTCAGATAATATTTCAAAATCATCATTTAATTTCTCATAGCTACTGCTTGCACTTAAAGCAGATAATTTTGTTGCATAACTATCATGCGAACAATTGGAAAATTTTCGAGAATAATTATTATTACGCATAAATGATTTGCCAATGGTGCTAGCGGGTGATGATGATGATGAAGGTGAGGAATAATTTCTAATCATTTTAGATGGAGATTTGTTGTTGGTAATTTTTGAATTGCCCAATAGTTTAATAATACCATGTTTGGTATTTGTTTCTGTTGATAAAAATGCTGATTCATTATTTGAAGAAATTAATGAAACAGTAGGTGAAGAAATGGGTTTATTGGATGTTACTGACGTTAATAGTGATGATTTTTCTGTTGGAAGTGAGGATTTTTTTATGGAAGATGAAGATGATATTTTTACAGGATAACTAGTGGATGCTTTTAATTTTGAAGCTGATGAATTTTTTTCTGTATTTTGAGAATCAATAGGTAAAGTAGAGGGTAATATTTTTTCTGCTGAAGTTGAAGTGGCTTTTATTAAGGCCGTTGATAAGGTATTTACTGATGGAATTGTAGAATCGTGTATTGGTGGATTTGAAGATGAAGCTTTTGTTGATAAAGAAGTTTTCACTAAAGATCTTGAAGAACCTTTTGCTGCTGAAGTTAAAGTATCTTTTGTTGATGTAACTGAAGCATCTTTTACTAATGAACTTGAATTTGGAAATGCTTTAACCAATGAAACTTTTGCTGAGGGTATTGAAGAAGTTTTTACCGTTGGAATTGGTGAAATCTTTTTTGAATAAGATACTGCGGTTGTTGATGAAGCTGACAGTGATTTTATAGAGTTAGTTGCTTCAATAGATGAAGAAGCAACAGCGCAAGAAGTTAATACACATTTCAATTTTTTTGAATGAGTTTCAACGGGAGTAGATGAAGTTTTCGGTGGGGAAATTACTTCAGATGGTGATGAAACAATTGTTGAACATTTTGGCAAATTTTTTCTTTCGCCACGAGTTGAAACTGTAAAGTTTGATGAAATTGAAGTGATATTTGCTGAAGGCGAAAATTTTCGAGTATTTGATACAGGATTTTTAAGAACAGCTGAATGATTTGTTGAAGCTTCAGACAGAGTATTTAGAGATGATTTAATTGAAGAAATCAAAGAAGTTTGAGCTGGGGAATTCAAAGAAGTTTTAATTGAAGACATTAAAGAAGTTTGAGGGGGGAAATTCAAAGAAGTTTTAATTGAAGAAATTAAAGAAGTTTGGGTTGGTGAAGAAATTTGAGATGATGGATTCAGAGAAGTTCGATTTGAAATTATATTAAGGGTTGATGAATTTATTCCTTCTGCTGATGATGAAGCAGTGACTATTGGAAGTACTTGCGAAGCTATTAAAGAAGAAGATGAAGAAATAGTTGTTGAATTAGGTAACGAATTTTCTGATGAAACTGGTGTTAATACTTTATTTTTGTCTCTTTTTTTCGATCTTGGTTTGGCAGTCTTTTTTAATTCTACCTCTGAAGGAGCTGACGATGAAGACGAAGTGGATGGACCCCTTTCAGGATCATCATCTCTACGAGAACATTTTTTTGTTTTCTTATCTTCTGGACCGTCCACGACGACATCTTTTGATCTTGCTTCGAATTCGGGATTGATGTTCATCGATGCATCTCTCCAGCTGCTCAACTGTGAAGTAGAGCTTTCAGTCTGGTTCTCAGGATAATTTTGAAGATACCCACCGAGCAATTCAGCATCAGTTGTTGATGACGACAATTCCGGTGTTGTTGGCTCGGAAATAGGTAACGATCTTGAATTCTCCGTTGTTGATTGTTCCAAAAGTGGTTCTCCATTAGAAGTGAAACCATCTGCTACACCTGGAAATCATCGGAGAATTATTTCTATTATTTAAAAAAAAAATCAAAATTTAACTTACATGATGAATCAGAAAGTGCAAAAAATTTCATTCTGCTTGCAATAGTTCCTGGTGGTGTTATATAAGGTGGTGGTGGACTTTCAGGAACAGTTTGTTGAACACTGCATTCATTAGTGAAAACACAATCACTTGTACTTGCTCCATCATCAGCTGGTATGTTACTAGATCCGTTAGCTTCATTATCATTTCTGTTGAAAAAAAATTAATCTTCATTCATTTATTTCTATCTAATTATCAATTTTTTAAACTTACAAGTAATTATCATTGCAATTTCTATTCAGACGACAACTGGAATTTGATTTTTTCTTTTTTCGTTTCTTATGTTCATTTTCTAAACTAAGTTTCACAACTTCCTCATAACCGGGTGGTGATTCATAATCAGGTGGATCATCAGTGACAGTTACTTCCTCAATTCTTGCACCATCTGGAATTTCAAAAACTGAATGTTGTGTGAATTATTTTACTTTATTAAAACAATATACCTAGTAATTCGCTGATTGTTTGCAAACGGGATTGAAGTTCACGTTGTTGTCTTGCTCTGGCACCCATTCGATAGAGTAATACAATTAGGGCTGAGATAAGTGTTATCAGACCCAAACTACTTGCTACAAAAACAAGAGTCGCTGTCTTCAAATCTGGATATTGATCAATTTTCGGAAAATAGTAGTTTGCCTTGTTCGTGTGCCATTTTCTGTCTTGTGGTGCAAGTTCCCAATCTGAAAATGGATTGAGTTCTTTTAATATAATTCAGAAGAAAAAGCAAAAGATTATGATTTAATAAAAATGAATGTCACCTTGAACACAAGTGGACGGTTCATCACTGTTATCCCCACAATGATCAAATCCATCACAGTTCAAATGACTTGGAATACATCTGTGATTTTGGCAGAGAAAATCTGATCCAGTGAAGCAATCTAAAATTCGCAAAATTAATTGAATTGTTATAAAGAAAAGGATTATTTAAAAAATTTATTTTATTCAACAGAATTATAAAGACCTGTATAACTGAAAGTTGTATACGCCATAGCAAGACGAGAAGTTGGACCAAATGTTCCTCGAAGACTGACGTGAAAACCACTAATTATTGGAGCGATATGCTCCTTTAATCTTCGTGGTTGTAATTTACTTGCAGGATGTCTCAAAATTTCCAAAGGTAATAAAGCTGAAGTTGGTCCTTGTTTAATTATAAGTTCAGTACTACCTGCTGAATATGCATAGAAAACAATAAATCATTATTGAGTAAAAAGAGAAAAAATTATGATTTTAAAAAAAATGAAGATTAATTAATAACGTTTTACCCATATCATCAAATGTGATGATCTTCAAATAAACGTGTGTTTTCATTTGAAGAAATGTCTTTGGCGGTCTGATTAGCCAAACACAATCGTAAATTTTAACACCTTCATCAACCATGTCCATCATTGTGATTGCACCTCCTAAATTTTCAACATATCCACCACAATCGGTGATTGGCTGAACTGATTTATCATAAAGATGACCAAGTACAAATGAATAGAAAGCCTTATATCCAAGACCTGTGCCTCCATTTGCATAAAATCGAATAAGAAGCGAAGGACCGGAACTCACGATAACTGGTGGACGAAATCTTACTCCACTGCTCACATCAAGTCGTTGTCCATTCCAATCGTAGAACTATGAAAAAGAGATTGCTTATTTTTGTTCTTATTATTTTAAAAAATTTTAAAAATTTTCATATACCTCTATTATGGAAACGGCGGCTAGCTGAAAATCACTAAAAAGAACTCGAACTCGACATGATGGGGCCTCAGTTGGACAGGTAATAACATACTCCATACCTAGATCTCGAGGATAACGAGATGGAAAGAAAGGCGATGTGAGAATTCCACCAATTGTATTATTTCGAGATTTTCCTATTCCTGACGAAATATCTGATCCCTTTAAATTTATTCTATTTCCTATAAAACAAAACAAAAATGACATTTTCGTTGCAAATTAAGGGAAAGAATAATTTAAAATAAAATTAAATTAAGTAAAAAAAATTTTAAAACATACTTTCAGACGTATATTCCAAGGTGAAGGCATGATTGTGCGATTGACTGTAGAGAAGTGTGATTGATAAGGTTCTAGTGTTTGACCGATAAGAAATAGGAGAATAAAATCCACAAAACGGCGTTCCAGACACGTCTTCATAAGGTGGTTCTGATATCCAGACATAGTCACATCTAAAGAAGAAAATAATTTATTATAAATTATGTTTTTGCATATTTCTCTAAATTTTTTTTCTTCAAAAAATAAAAATCATTAATTTAGTAATTAAGAAAATTAATGTAAATATTCAGACCTGCAAGAACTGTCGAGCATAAAACTTCCATCTCCGCAATTTTGAGAAAGACCAATACTCTTGAAAGTCAAGGTGATAACGCAGGAAGGACATGTCACAAGTTCCAAGCTACATTGATCGTGTGAACTGTTGGTTGTATAAATTCTCGAATCTTGAAGTCGAGGTGCATTTTTTATGAAAGAAACATTTTTTGCATAAAGTACTCCTTGTTCGCCAAGTTCCAAATAAAGTCTTCGTCCATTTTGAATTCCGCAAATGTCTTCATTGCGAACAATAGCTTCACTTATTGTAACACAGCTCCAGCATATAATCACTATAATTACTGAATAAATGATTTCATTGCAGATTAATAAATATTAATTTTTGTTTTTTTTTTAAAAAAGAAGAAAAATAAGAGGAATCACTTACCATAGCGACTGTGAAGCATAGTTACTGAAGAAACATGAGTGCAGCCAGTTTGTCGGCTGACCCGACATTGATCTTTATAATTTTGTTAGCGGTTCGACATCAGCGTTACGTAGCCTCTCGTGGTTTATACTTTAGGGCACATGTATGGTATCTTCTGACAATAAATGCCACTCCATTTATGACAATACTTAACTCTTTTATACACTTTTTCGATAATTTGCGTTTTACTCAAATATGACATCGTCATTTTATTATAATGGATAATTTTGTTTTTAATTTATTTTAATATAAGAAATTTTCTTTTTTTTTTTAATTATAAAATAATTTAAAAGATCTATTTTTGAAAAGTAAATCCAAAATTTATTTAAAATTAAGGAAATGAAACTTATGGAAAAAATAAAGAAAGAAGAATGAATTTTATAGAAAATATATTTTGAGCTAACTTTTCCTCTTACATTATTAATTTTATGCATTACATTAATTTCTGATGGAAAATATTGAAACATTTTTCAAAAGAATTTAATCAAGTTTGAATAATACTGACTTTTATGTATAAATTATTTTGCAGTTCTTATTTTTTGTATAAAATTGAATATTTCTTCAAATTAAATATTAATAAACAAATTTTTTTCCGTATTTAATTTGACATTTTAGAATTTCAATTTTAAAAATTTATAAACCTTTTTTAAATTGGATAATTTATAATATATTTATTTATTATGAATTTAATTTTTATGTATAAATAAGAACATCTGCACGGAAGTAAACAACATAATTATTTTTGTAACTAGTTCATTGAAATTCTTTAAATTTATTATAAAGTCCATGTCATTTATAGGCGCTGTTAAACTGATTAAGCATGTTTTAAAATAAACAGCGTAAAGATTAAAAGTGAAAAGTAGACAATGACAGGCAACTGTTAATTAAATCTCTCTCCGAGAGACTTGTTTTTTACATTTTTCACTTATATTATAATAAAGAATATGCAGATCAAATTTACATAACTAAAGACAAAGAAAGCTGTCGCCTGTTTTTCAGTAAACAAATACATATTCAGAACAACAGTAAATTCACTATCTCATTCTTATATAGCGTTTAAGACCTCGAGACTCGTTATTTTTTCATTATAAAAAAATTCTTTTTAAAAAATTGAAGAAAAGTATCTCGGATTAATCATCATTCTTTTTTTGTATTTTAATAAATTCAATTGTTTCACCAATCACTCATTTTTATAAATTCATTATTTTTCTTTTCTAAATTATTTTCTAAATTTACTTTTATAAATTTATTTTTATAAATTATTTTTATAAATTTATTGATTGTATAATTTCACTATCTAATTTTGCAAATTTATTAGTTTCGTGAATCTATTTTTTTTTTAAATAACAGATTATCAATGAGTTTCTCTTTTATTATTCAATTAATTTGTGATTTAAAATGAACTGGACTAGCTTTTTGGCACATAACGGAGAAAAATATTATTTTGGAGAATATTTTGAGAAATCTCACGACAGAAACATTTTTTTTTTTTTGTCACAGTGACAATCTACTTTGAATAAAATATAAAACTCAGTTTATATTTTATAGTTTTAAAAGAAAAACATTTCTTTTTTTGAGAAATTTTTTTCTTGTCTTTTATTTTCATCCCCCGTATTGTCTACCAATAGACATGAGGAAGTACATTGCTACTCCCAAGAAAATTGAGCCAGAAAGATCGCCCAAAGCTGTCAAATATGGTATCGCCGAATTATCTGGATCAATTTTAAACCTCCACATTGCGTGAACTATTATGTGTGCAACGTAAAGCAAAAGCATCACCTATTTTGATAAAAAAAAATAAAGATATTTGATATTCTCCTATTGTTGAATAATCTTTTTGTAAAAATCGAATAAAAAAAATATTTAAAATAACAGTTCATTTAATTTTTAATTTAAATTTTTAATTTTATTGCTATCTAAATGAAATCGATTGATATTTATTGATTTCATTCAAATATTGACATTTATTTGATAATAATTGATGATTGGAATTTTTAATTTTCAAATTCTAATATTTGTATAATTTAAGAAAAAGAAAAAATCTCTCACCTGCAGACAAGCAACCAGAAGATAAGATAGAGCAAAAGAAAAGTGAATTGTAGAGTGTCCATGTTTGAAATAATCAGCGGCGAAGATAAATACCAAATGACCGGGGATCGACATGGAAATGAGAATTCGTGCAGATTTTGCTGATGGCACTGAAATATAAAAATATTTGAAATATTAATATTCTTTATGTAGGGAAATTTTTCTTTTTCTTTTAATAAAATAATTTTAAATACAAAAATTTCGAAAGTATTACCTCCTTTAATAAGAGCCTTCCATGGAGAAACACATAATTTTGTGTGTGGAGGAATGATGCCCATTAGGGATGTCTGATGTAGCATTGTTGAGATTCTTGAGGCTTGAACTGAAACTAAATTTCCACCAATTCCATTGATAATCGGCTGGAATATTACGAATCCATTGAGAACATCTACCGCTTGGTCAAGAACAAGTCCACCGAGTCTAGAAATAAATTTAATTACTATAATTAATATTTATATATTTTATAATATATCTCAACGTTCAAAACAATTTTAATTTTGCATTTTACTACAGACTATTTTGCTATCTTTTTATTTTTTTTTTATTTTTTAATTTACCCACCCACTGATAAACAGAGCAGATATTACTGGAACCCATCCAGAAGTTAATACATTCCTCGTGTATTTATTGTGTAAAACAATGTAAATCCAAAATGGCAAAAGTACCAAATAGATAACAATAATTAGATATAAAATCCAAATTTCCGATTCAAGTTTAATGAAAAATGATGATGCAATGGCAGATAAAACACTTATGGAAACAACATCACCAATCGATGCTGCCAAAGGAGTTGCTAAATTGTCAGGATTCATTTTACATCGATGTGATAACATAATGACGGCAATCATGACAAAATCTGAAAATTAATTTATTCAATAAATATTAGAATATTAAACAAATTGTAAATAATATTTTTTAAAAAATAAAACTATGTAGATTTTTTTTTTTATTTATAAAACAAATAACGGAAGGAGACAAAAAATTAAATAACTATGACAATTGTTGAGTAATTAAATAAAAATTAAATAGATCGCAAAATTATTTACACGGAAAAAATATTTAATGCATAATTTTTTTTTTATTGAACGTCACAAGCGTAAAGATAAAAATCTTGATTCAAATTCGTCACAATTTCTTGCGAAATGTGCCCGACAAACAATAAACAACCTTCGTCGTTGGACGAGACAATCAAGATAATCGACACTTATTTTGTTTACATAATATTTTTTTTTTAATTTTTCTTTTTACAAATAGATAGTGTGTTTGATCGTGAGAGATTTTAAATTACTGCGCGCGTGTAAATTTATCAAAGTGTACTATCATTGGAAAAAAAAAGAGAAACGTAGATTATTCTTGTTTCTTTTTTTGAAAACTATATAAAGTTTGCAATATATTTAAAATAGAACATGAATATTAAAATATTGAAATTTAGTAAAATTACCTAAAATGAAGCAGGAACTTGTGGCTGTGCAAACACTAGAAGCGATCATTAGAAGTGAATGGTCCCATGAATATTTACCATCCATCGCAGCTGATACAGTAATTGCAAAAAGGGCCACTAATGTTGAAGCAACTATTGATTGAATTTGAACTAAAGCTAAATTTCCAATAATCATTTTTGCTATTTCTCTGTAGGAATTCATATTGCCTAAATTTGCCTGCGTACAAAGACGAGAGGCAAGGCACATATCTAAATTTCCTTTTAAACCCAATAGGGCAGGAACCAAAATGAATAATTGTGAAATTGTTTTAAATACTGGCCAATTCTGAAATTTATTAATTAATTATAATTTTCATAATTATTTTATAAAAATAATCTATAAATATAATTAATATCAATAAAATTACTAACTTGAACTTCGGCTAGAACAAGTCCAGCACCAATAGTTCCAATTCCAGCAATAAAAAAAGGAACAGAAACTTGTAAAGTAGTTTCGTACCATTTTTCATTTAAACTACTATGCTTTTTCTCGGGATTTCCATCTGGACCATTTGGATAATCAGGATCTGGTTCAGAGTTTGACACGGAAGCAATTGTCACTATTGAACATCCACTGGATAATGAACCACCTCCTGGACTTGCGGCACATTTTTCGTCTAATTCGTTTGCTGTTTTTTGAATTTTTAAACCAGCTGCAATGAAAAAAGGTATTTTAAAAATTTAATTATAATAATTATATAAATGTTTATTATCTATTTATTTATATATATATATAAATAACAAAAAGTATATTTCTTTTACAAAAATTTTTTTTTAATATTATTAATGGTTGAATTTAGAGAATGAATAAAATAGTTTTAAATAATATATCTTTTTAAAGATTATATAATTGATTAAAATTTGTGGTAGCAGTCAATTAAAAAAATATATAATTGCAACTATTTTCCATAAACAAAATAAACAAACTTTGAGGTTATATTGATTTCACAACGTGTAATGGAAATTAAATATAAAAATTAGCACCTCAAAATTTCCCCTACTGTTGTAAAATAAAATAAAAATATCATAAATATTAAAAACAACAGTTGTAAAATGTATTAAGAATATTAATTAAAAAGAATATATAAAAACTGAATAAATTATTTTCGAAAAAGCCGAATGTCAGCGCACAACATGTCTATTTTTGTATTTTTCGCGCATCCGGAAGTAAAAGTTACTGCTACGTAACTAGTCAAAATAGCAATATATTAAAGTGCAAATAATCATTTTAAATAAAATTTTCAAAGTATAACCAAAGTTTAATGTACTATTGTAGAATATATCTTATAAATAAAAAACTTGTGTAATAATTAAATGTAATTGTAAATTAATACGTGTTATTAATATAATTTTTTTTGAAAATTGCAAAGATAAATTGTCCACCAACCAAAGTGAGGCTTTCACATTCAGCCAATCAGAGAGAAGCTCGCTTGTTTCCTGCTGATTCCTGTTGAACAGGTTGCTGAAAGTGGCGGTTGATGTACAATTATCCTCGCTTTTTTATCAAAAAAGGTAACTTTATCTTTAAATATTAACTATTTTTTGTATTTTTATTGTTATCTGAGTGGGGGAAATAATATTTTCTGATAATTATGCCAAAAAATTGTCAGTACATGACTAAATGTGGATTTTTGGTCATTGCCCCCCCCTTCCTTCTATGTTCATTGCATGTGGTTGTTGTGCAAATGTAAAAGTTATGGTGAATTGTTATTAAGTTTTGTATTTTTTGTGAGTATTTCGTGATTTTCATCAGTGATAGTATTGTAGGTTATGATTTTTTGTGCAATAAATTGTTCTATCGTTAATGGGTAATTGAGAACAAAAGCATTGTCCGTCATTGATTTTTTAGGTTAACTTTGCAACAAAATTTTGATATTTGTCGCAATTTTATGTCCTATGTGGTTGATATTATATAAAATACATGTGTTTTCCCAAATTTTGAGACATTTTCAAGAACAAAAGGTAATGTCAAGGTAATTGACATTAAGCTCGAAATGTCGATGTTCGTCAGGCAATGCTTTGCTTTCATGCTTCGCAAAATTGTACAAAAACAAAAGTGATCATTATACTTTTCTAAAATGGCATCGAGCAGACAAATTTAATAAAAAATAATGTTTATTTTCTCAGCTTCCTCGTTTTCTGTTTGGTGGATATTCTGGATAGATGAAATAATTTCGTCAGTCCTCAATTGCAGGGGATAATTGGCAGTTATGGTAAGTTATAATTATTTATATAATAAAAATATACTCATAAAAAGGAAGTAAATGCAATTTTAGGAAATTTAATTGTAAAATGAAATTATCATAAATTTGTCTTAAATGTTTTAATTTTATAAATATATTTTTTAACAATGTTTAAATTGTATTGGTAATACTATTATTTATAGGTTATATTTTTTTATCATTTTTTTAGATTCAAAATTGCAAAATTTTTGTCTTATTTGTTTATTTATAAAAAATAATAATAATGAATTATTTATAAAAAATGAAATCATCATTGTCACAATTTTAAATACATAAATTATGATAAATAATTTTCTATTTCAGCTTTCTCCATTGATGTTTAATCCAAACGAGAAAATGGCACAATGATCTTTTTTGCAATGCGAATAAATAAGTTGTAGGTTATTTAAAACTCGGTCTATTCGAAGAATTACTTTTCAAATTTTCACAATGGTTTGAAAAGTAATCTAAGAGTAGGGATCTCCGGGGATTAAATGGCTTAAAAAAAGGATCTCATAGACATAGCGAATTCGCTATTATGGTAAATATAATGAAAATATTATAATTATTTATGTAATACAGGTTGATTATTTTAATATTTATTAATTAAAGAAATTTGTTTGCATTTAATAATAAAAAATAATAAATATTGTAAAAGTAATTCTAAAAATAATTGTAAACAATAATTAAAATAATTGATGATGGAAAGATAAACTCATAAATATGTAAACGTTTTTGAAAATCTCTCATTTAAAGTCTTAATATAGTTTTTAATTTAATATTTATTTCTTTTTTCAGTGCCATTTGAGAGAAAACGGGAGTAAAAATCCCACTTTATAGAAGCTTATAAAAAATTGTTATGTTTCGAGTCAGTGCGGATTTTGTATAACTTAAATTTAAAATCAGTGTTTATTTAAATATAAAATGATAACAAAAATTGTTGTTTTGAATCAGTGCGTGTTTGTATAATTTAAATTAATTAAAATCAGTGTGTGGACGTGAGTGTTAATATATAAAATAATAAAAAAATTCTTTTATTTCGAGTCAGTGCGCGTTTGTATAACTTAAATTTAATTAAAATCAGTGTGTGTGTGTGTTAATATATAAAAGAATAAAATAATTATTTTATTTCGAGTCAGTGCGCGTTTGTATAACTTAAATTTAATTAAAAAATCAGTGCGTGTGTGTGTTCAAATATAAAAAGATAAATAAAAATTTTATGTTTCGAGTCAGTGCGCGTTTATATAACTTAAATTTAAAAACAGTGTGTTTGTGTGATAAAATATTCGGAACGATTCAAATAGTATGGAGAACTGGAAAAAGTGGAGGAACTAGAGAAGCAGTTCACCCAGCATCCCTTCAAAATTTTATACCAGCAATAATATTTGTAAGTCCCTCCTGTTCTCCAAAGTATTGTGGCGGAAACAGGTTGTAATAATTTGGAAAATTTTCATAGTGATCGCTAATTAAATTGATTGATATTTTTAATTAAAAATTAACTAATCGATTTAATTATCAGGTGGATCTCACTTGTTTATATATATTTTTTTTAGAACTAGGTATACTCTTTCCTTGGTACGTGAAAATTAGAAGATTTTATATAAGACAAATATTACAATTTTTAAGATTATAAAAATATTTGCTTAACATTTTTTTTTTTTAATAATTTAACTTAATCATTATCGTGTTATGTTATCTATTTTAAAACCAAGGAAAGATTTTAGCTAAATTAATTATATTAAAATTGAGAAATTTATTAATAACAAATTTTTTCATTTTATTTCTTTCATTAAATTTACTATTTGCTCTAATTTATTAAAATAATTTTTTCATTAAGATAAATAATTTTGATCATTGTTTATAATTAAGAATAGGATGTTTATTAATCTTTTTCTTACAGATTTTCTAAAGGTATTTTAACTGCTGTGTTTTTTTTTTTTTTTTATTAAAAGTCAACTATTTTTTTAAAATTATTTTTATTTAATAGTTGGCTTTTGATAGCATAATATATCCACTGTCATTATGAAAATTTTCCCTCATTTTCCACATCAAAAATTTTTTAAACTATATAGAAAATTCGCATTTGTTTTGTTGGAAATTTTGATAAATATGAACAAATTTTCCTGGTTCTGTTTTTTTATTATTTTTTTTTAATAGTTCGTTCTTAGTTGTGCAATTTTTATCACGATAAAAAACTTATAAGTTTTTGTTATAATATTATAATAATTTTACATTGACAAAATACATAATTAGAGGGGAGACTGTTTACTAAAATATTATTCGAAAATATGAATTATTGATAAATTAAATAAAAATGTATTTTCAAGTTGTTAGAAATATTAATATTGACAACTTGATTATATAAAATTCAAAGACTTAATGTTTTATTGCTTTGGAGGCTTAAACTATAATAGGATATATTATTAGATTCTAAGACATTAAAGAATCACGTGTTTCATTGAGAAGTATAATTTAGTGACATTTTTTTTAAACATAAAACTATCTGCATTGGATAATAAATAATTTTTATCAGGCCATTTACTCAAAACAAAAAAAAAAAAAAAAAAAAAAACCTTTAACAATAATTTAAAATTGTTAATTAACTTTTTCGCGCTATTGCTAAATATGTTTTATTGTGCTTTGTGCATGAAATAAACAAAAAAACAATTTGGAATCAAATAAGTATTTTTTTTACACTAATTGTAAAATTTTAAATTTACATACCCGCGACCTTCTGAACAATGGCATTATCTGCTCTTATATTATCATTCGTAATGTTTATCTTCATATTTCCTTCAGTGTTGAGTCCTGTGAATGTTGTGTTAGAATTTTCTTTTTCAGACGTCATTTCTATAGGGAATAGATTTTTGATCTCGTGTGCTTCCGCAATTATTTCATTTGCTTCTTTCACTTTAATTTGACCACCTTATTCCAATTTTGTCACGCTAAGTAATGTAGGATCGTTCTCCAAGTCGAGAGAAACGACTATGTCTGAATAAAAGAAATTTATTTTTTATTATTCATATACAATCTCTTTAAATAAACAATGTTTCAAATTAAGCACGTTTTTCTGAATTAAAATTAAAATATTTCAAAAATTTCTTTTGACGATTTAAAAAAAAAGAAATAATTTGTCATTAAATATGATAAGAAATGTGGAATTGTTTTATTCTCTTCGAAATAATATACAGAAGTTCCTGATTTATGTACGGAAATGATTCTTGATAAGAAATTTATTTGATTTATTAAATTTAAAATCTTTTTCTTTCGAATTTTGTTTATAATTACCTTATTTTCTGCAGAGGGAAGGTTCGATGATACGACCTCTGCAGAAAAATTCTTGCAGGATCGATCTGTGGTAGTTTATGTTCCGATCTTCCCAATTCCGTCAGCCTTAATCTGTAAGAACTAATGAAATTAAAATTAAAAAGTAATTACATTGATAAGCGTTAATTTCTCTGATATATTTATAACGTTAATTATATATGTTATTTTTATTTTTGAACTTATAAAACAATTGTTTTCATTATATTGTTTTAAAAAATAATTATTGTTTTAATTTTTTTTCAATGAAAATTTTATCATTTATTTTTACAAGAATTACTTTGTCATCTATCTTTAGCAATATTGGCTATAATTTTCTGATTAATTGTTATCAATTATGTATCTATCCGTGACAATAGACCCGTTTTGATACAAGGACTTAAAAAATTGACCGTGCGTGATTTGATATATTAGTCGATAAATTCACATTATATAATCACTATAGATTAAATTATTATAAAGTTATACAGAAACACTTTTTTCTCTTATAATGATAGAAGATCAATTTATTATTCGTGATCAATTTAAGTTGATTAACTAATTAATTAAAAAAAAAAAATAAATAATTTCTAAATTTTTCATAAAACTTTATTCGATTTAATTAGTTGGAAAATATTTTATTTTTTCTCCCATGAAAATTTATTATTAATAATATATTTATTTATTTATTTCTGAGCGATTCCAAAAAACAGTTTTTTAATGATCTTATTTGAATCTCATTTTAATTTTAAAATTGTTTTTATTATTTTTAATTATTAGTTCTCATATTTCTATTTATTTATTTATTTGTTTATAATTTATTCTTATTAAAATGAAATAAGGAAATAAGTGCTTTTAATTTTTGTTGGCTATATCATTATTTATGAAATAAATTGAAGGTCGTTAAAAGTAAAACAATTTTTTAATTAAGTATATACTATCAGTTTTCTTTAAAGATTCTTGACTTTGACTCATATTATTAAAATTTAACAAAAATTTCATTTTCTTTACATTATTACCAACTGTTTCATTGCACGCGTTTGAATCAAAAAAAAAAAAAATAACTGTTAATTGCATGCATAAATTGAAGTCTCGCGCGGTTTAACAATATTACATATCGATTTATATTACTGACAAATGTTTTATCAATTTTTTATTTTTTTGATTAAATCAGAGGTCAAATAATGTTACGATTATAATTAATCTGTCATGTACTATCAATAAATATTCCAAACGAATTATCTGTTGCAAAAAGCATTCTTTGCTTTCTTTTAATTTCTATTCTTAGTTGTTGACCTTAAGTATCGCGTGAATGGAAAGGTTTTCCACTTTTCCTTAACAGTTAATTATTATTTTTTAACATTAGTTTTATAAATTTATTTATTGAGTTAGTTAAGTAGATATTATTATTCATTGATTAATTAATTATTAATTTAATATTATTTTATACTAAATATTAAATATTATTTAATTTAGTTAGTTATTTAAATTAATTTAATCGTGTGTTTAGTTTAGTTTTTTTAATGTTTATTTTTTAATAAAACTATATAACAAATAGTTAAGGATAAAAGTAGTAAAACGGAAGTTGATACAGTTGAACAAAAATTGATAAGAAAATAAATTACAATGAAGGTCAAGAATAAGCGTAAAATTATAATTATACATAGAACATATGCATAGAATTGAGTATTAAAAACTTTTACCTTTTTTTTAAACTGCCCTAAAATTTTTCATTTTACATTTACTTTTATTTTTATTAATTTTGTTAATTTAGTTTTATATCATTTGATACGGAAAATTAAATTTTACAATTTTGTTATTTAATTATAAATAAAAATTTGAATAAAAATAAATTAATGAAAATTAATAAAAATCGAAATAAATATCAATAAAGAAATTAAATAAATAAATAAATTCTAATAATAAAATAAATAATAAGTAAACAATTAAAACGAATTGTTATCGATTATTTGTTCTTTTACATTAACGGAAAATTGGATTTTCTTGCTCCAATTACCTACATGCGTTTATTCGTGTCATCAATTGAATGAGGTCAAATTCTTTGCGATAACTTTGATATAATAGTTAATATATTGTATATGTACCGAATGCTTATCTAGCTTAATTACTGAATTATAATTAAAATTTAAAAATACTATACATATACACCCTAAAAAAAGTAATCTTGATTCTAGCGAATTCCTCTTAATTTGATGCATATTTTCCTCTTATATATTGTATCAAAAGTAATAGTCTTCACTTGAGAGGATTTTCCTCTCGCATATAATTTGACAATTATGGTTATAAACAGATAAAGAAAAGCTATTATCCTGCACTAAATTAAATATCTTTAATTAAACATTATATATAATTAATGATTTATAGTTAATTACTTACATTAATTAATAGATTTGTTTATTTATTTAACTTTAATTCAATGTTTTTGAAATCAGAACCTCAAAAAAATTGTTTTGTTTTATTAATAGTCACCAAAGAATAAAAATATTCTACATTCAAGTGGAATACTTTTGTTTTAAGAGGAAAAATTGAGAGGATATTAGAAGAGGATTTTTCCTCTAAATATGAGATTACTTTTTTTAGGGTGTAGAAGGGTGTGTAAAACGGATTTGATATTTTATCATTCTAATTAAAGTATTAATTTTAAAATTAAAAAATGTAACTATATTTTTAACATCTTTATATAAAAAAAAGGTTTTCTAAGAAATAATCCATCACGGATGTTATTCTTTCGATATAATATTAGCGTTCGACTAAAGTTATATATATATATATATATGCGTACTTCCAATTGTCATCAAAGCAATAATAATTGACGTAAGACAATTCTAACAAAAGACAGTCATTACGAAAGTATTTAATTTTATAAATTGGAAGTAGTTTAAAATTGTAAAAACGTTAGTTTAGTTGTAGTTGCATTTTTATAAAATGAGGAACCAATTGCTAAACTATAGTTAATTAGACGCATTTCATTATATTAATCACTTTGATGATCAATATGGCATTTTGAGGCATTAACGAAGTTATGAAATAATTATAGTTAAGTTTTTCGCAACTTGCGAATCAAGTCAATTTATCTTCATAATTTCGACATGACAATATTTCGCTTTTCTATTCTCTTTTTTTTTTATCTTGTTCATTATATCAAACTAGAAAAAATATACATAACTATTTCGATTTTTATTGTTATATAAGCATACATGACTTTGCAAATTACGTTGAACATACATAAATACAAATAAAAGATAAAAGTAATTTTTTATGAAAAATTTTTGAAAATTAAAAACAATTGATCACATTCACTCACTTACAGGGTTACGTTTACTATTTTTTTTTTAAAATTCAATGCTGCATTTACGACGCAAATTCATTGTTAAGGAAAATAATAATATTTCAAGAAACTTAAGTTTTACTAATAAATTTTTACTTTATATTTAACTGCAGTTTTTTTTATATAAGTTAATTTTTGCAATCTTTTATTTTTCAAATAAAAGTAATCAAGATTCTAATTTCATCATTTCATCAGTTTACTTAAAGCCAATAAATTGTATACAATGAAAAAAAATTTATTTGATTCAATTATTTTTTCACTATTATCAAAGAAATATTTACTTAAACCAAATAATTTTTATTTAAATCAATTAAACTGTATTTTAAGCAATAATTTCTGTATTTGAAACAAATACAATTTAATTGACTGAAATAATAATTATTTGATACAAATAAATATTTTTTTTGATAATAGTCAAGTAAACGATTATTTGAATCAAATGATTTTTTTCAGTGTAACGACTAAATAAAAATCTAACGACTAAATGGAACCCTTAAAACGTAAAAATACTGACTGATTTTTATTATTTATTTTATTCTACATTTTACATTTATTTAAAATTATATTATATTAATATTTAATTTATTTACAAAGGAAATAGTTTATTTAAATATGCATATATTTGTTTTGTAAATAAATGCATATATGAGAGATAAACATTTTCCATTAAAATACATTTAAAAACACTATCTCCTTTCATTATATCGTTAATGCCTTAAAATTATTATTGAATTCCTTAGTTTTATTGCCGTTAAATGAAAAATGAACTAAAAATAAAATCCGAAAATTTGTGATTTTGTACAGATTATTGATAATATTAAAAGAAAAAAAAATTAAATACAAAGATTTTGATATTTTTTTAAATATTTTTCTTATTTTATAAATTGCGTAAAGAAATCTATTTTTGAATTTTATAATGTTAATAGCAGGAAGCAAGTTCGAAATGAAAAGAAAAAAAAAGTTGTTTTCTGATAATGAATTGTTCTTCTCTATATAATTGTCAATTTAATATTCATAATTCCGTGGAGGAAATTCATTTTTTTTTAATTGTATTCAGAAATTGTACGGACTACTTTAAATTCAGCACGACGAGAAATGAGCAGACATTCGCTTTAAAGTTCTTTCCCTCTGATTGATTACGTTTCATGCAGTTCTTCTTTTCCTCATTTACATTTAATTGATTCTGTTATTAGATATCAGTCATTGTACGCAGGTAGAAGCTTTTTTAATTTTCAAATTAATAATATTGGTTTAAATTCAGTTTTCCTTGGATTATTTTTGTTTCAATTTTTTTTTCTTTCAATTTCCAATATTCATTTCGTCATTAAAATTCATTACATTCACAATTTATTTAGTTATTTATATTTATTATACTTTGAAAAAAATTAAGTTAATGATCTTCAACTATGATAATTTTAACTATAATTATTATCTGTGTCAGAAAATTTCATAATCAGTTAATTATTTATGAAAAATTAACTTTATTTATTAAGAAATAAAAAAATAATTTTTTAATTTATGATTCGATAGTATCTGAAGAGTGGATGTTGATAAAAAAAAATTTCTTTCTTTATAAAAAATAATTACTCACGGCGAAGACACATTTTGATGAATTTGCGCCAGCGTGTCGATGCTTTGCCGGTAAATTCCGATTATTGAAATTGATAAAAACGAAGAAGAAGAAAGCGAAGATATAGAAATCTCTTTGGATCGAATCGCGGAATAGTTTTTTGTTTCCGTCAATTAAAACAGATCACTTTTTTTTTTTATTTTTCTATAACGAACCACAATTTATAAATTTGTGTTTATAAAAAAGCGTGACAAAGACTTTTTAAACGGTTATTAATGAACTTGACGAATGAAATTTTCTATCGTGAAGTAAATCTTTAAATATATATATGTTGAAATAAAAAAAAAAAAAAAAAAAACACGGGTGTCGGACTAATAATTTTTGTAAAAGTAGAACTGTTCCGCGCACGCGACTGCACTTGACTGATAAAAAAGAAACTCAAGAAATGAACGAAGTCGCTACTCTCTTTCCTTAGTATTTGTATGCATCAAGTTGATAGGTGATGACGTGACATGTGTTCAGTAGTGGAGGAAAACCTAACTGGTGATCCCCATGTCTGTGTTCTTATCTTCATTAAAATCAGCCAATCACAAATTGGCAATATATACATAAAATTATTTCAATAAAGTTGATAAAAAATTTTTTTTTTGATAAAGGAATTCCTTTAGTTTCACATCATCACATTTTACATGTATATAAATTATCAGAATGATAAGGACACTTTGTATCTTCACATCACTCTCAAGAGAAATACAAATATTTATGGTGGTTATCGAATTGTAAATTAAAAAATATCTTCATCTTTTTTGCGTCACAATATATATGTTTAGGAAAAGAAGAAAATAATGTATCACCTGATTTTCTTTTTGCAAAAAGAGTTTTCTGATTTATAACTTTTGATAAATATTTTTTCTGATTTTCTCCACAAATATAAAAAAAGAACAAAATTGTATTTTCAAAGAACATTTATGTTGCACTTTAATATTTCATTTCTAAAAACAGATATTTAATAGTTTCTTTTTATCACGTTTGTCTTTGAAAAAAATATGTCAATGAGATTATTTAACAATATTTTTAAAAAAAATATTTTTTTTAATATTCATTTTTTAAACTTTTTTTTTTTTATATACGTATAACTTTTCTATCATTGAAAAATAATCTTTGATTTTGTTTAATCTTAAATGAAATCGCGTCCAAGTTATTTGAAACTATTGTAGTTATTTATTTAGATAAAAATCATTAATTTCGTCGTTTTTTTTTTTTTTTGCACTGTCGGAGAACAATAATTTATTATTTGTACATGATAAAACATGTGTCATCAATAATTTGTACCAAGTCATAGATAAAAAAAAGTTTAAAAATACATCTTACGAATAAATGATTTTGTAACTTGAATTCGAATCATAATCATGAATTCGATTCCTCGTAATGATTTCAGGTATTACCCGCGTTTGCGATTATAATTTATTTTCGATCAATTTTAAATGCAAAATAATCAGTAACTAATTATAGTTAAATTAAAAATTGAAAAATATTATTAGCACTACCGAACGGTCGCGTAACTATTTGCCCCCAACGAAATTTTTTTTCCACACTCAGAAAAAAATTTGTTTGAAACAACTAAATTTTGTTTGAATCAATCAAAAGTTTATATGATTCAATAAAAATATTTTTCTTCAATCGAAAAATTTATTAAAATAAACTAAACGTTCGTTTGGATTAAATAAATATTTATTTGAATCAAACAGATTTTGTTTGAAATAAGCAAATTTAAAAAATTGTATATTTGGTTCAAAAAAAACTTTTTCCTGAGTGCAAGTAAACGACATATTTCCTAAAATTCATAGTTCCCAGTGGATTAAATTTTATATGGCCTTAAATTTATATTTAGCTGAATTTTATAAAAAAGAATTTACATTGTACCGAATTTTTATTTAATTTTACGTGTCATCTGACAAAAAAAAAACAAAAGATTTTTTAATTTGAATAAAATCCATCAAATTAGTTATTATTAACTTCTTCTACCAAAGTTCTGTTAAATACACTGAAAAAAAAATTTATTTCATTCAAATACTCGATTACTTGACTATTATCAAATAAATATTTATTTGTATAAAATAATTATTATTTGAGTCAATTAAATGGTATTTGTTTCAAGTACACAAATTATTGGTTCAAATACAATTTATTTAATTCAAATAAAAATTATTTCGTTCAAATAAATATTTATTTGATAATACTCAAGTAATCGAGTATTTGAATCAAATAAATTTTTTTTTCAGTGTAGAAATTTATTTTAAAAAAAAAAAACGATTTTAAATTGAAATTTTGTTAAATAAAAATTCAGAGCATTAAAAAATTTTGCTATAAAAAAAAGTTTGATTAAATAAAAATTTGACCTTATGAAATTCGAAACAATGGAAATGCAGATTCATGAGTTTTAGGGACTTGTGCGTCTCTAATATAATTATTTAAAAAAAAAAAATTGTTTGCTCTATCGAAAAATTGTAATTTGACGAAAAACTAAAAAATAAATTTGCTGAAATCACACTTTTACTCTTCTTGCGCGCAATCATCAGAAGAAAATCATATACAAACCTTTCATTGTGACAATCGACGTTCATGAAAACGAAGCACCAAATAATGCTAAAGTGATAATTTTTTTTTTTTTTCACTGATAATAATGATATTAAACCGATTGGTACTTAAAATTTTTTAATTCGATCGATCGTAATCGACTGTTTCTGTCGAGAGCTCTTAAGCTTCTGATCTTTTAAAGAATAGAAGTCCACCGGTCATACGTTTTTACCTATCTACTGAGGGGATTGCTCAGTTACTGTCACTGAATATAACATTCTTGATCAAGGATAATAATTTTATCTTCCAGAAATTGATTAAATTAAAATACAATATAGAAACAAAAAAAACCATTTCTTATTTTGGATTTTCTTTTTTTGGATTTTTGCTCCTGACTTTTGTTCTTTTTTACTTGAGAATCAAATATTAGAAAATATATTGAATTTGGAAAGAAAACATTTTTTTTTTAAATTATAAATGTAAAATACAATTAAACAAGATTTTATCTCATTATTTTCCATAATACTTGAGTATATGAAGTTGCATTATTAAGAAAAAAAATGTTTTCTTTTTACTAGATATGTCAGATTCTTTAGATAAATCAATTCTTTCAATGCGAGCTTTCGTTTCAATCAACATTTTTGAAATAACTTTCATTTTTTTAAAGAAATCTTAACCTACTACAAATGTTTACAATTGACTGTCAGATTATATGATAACGCCAAGCCTCATGCCGCATATATATATATATATATATATATATATATATATATATATAATATGCTTATTTTAACTTGCCATAGAAAATATATCAATAAATTTATAAATATATAAAATATAATTTCCCAATATTGCGTATATTGTTTGTATAGTATCTTCAATTACATACAAACCTAATTAAATTTCTGTATGGTTAATTATTTCTAATTTCTGTACCAGGAAAATGTGTATAGTACTTATTTTTATTTTCCGTCAGTTTGACTTTGATAAATTAACAATTCTTTTTGTTTCGCAAGTTCAAAAAGTTTTCGTCAATGGGAATCCCATTGTGTATTCGAAGACTATTATTTTTAGGTTTTTCCTCATTTTTTTCTTTATTAGAAATATAAAGAATTATTTAAATATTTATTTTTTGGGAAATTACATTATTGATTTTCTTTTTAATATCAACCATTTAAAAAAAAAAACTTTTCAGATTGTCGTTAAAATTTAAAAATTTCTTTCAAATTGATAAAAGCATAATAAATAAGTGCAAAAAAAAAATAATAATAAATATAATTATTGTTATTTGTAAATATACTTTAAGTGCGAACATTTTTATTATGTTTTTTAGAAAGAATTTTCAAATAAAATTGACAAATTTTGGAAATACAACTTGTTTTTTTAAAACATATATAGTATTTATCTAAGATTTATATAGATTTATTGCGATGTAGACTTTTTTTGTATTTTTTTTTCTCCGAAAACAAAATTTTTCCGTTATTAACAATTGAAATAATATTTTGAGTTTGTTACAACCTTTTTCATTACATATATGTTATATATTTATTTCAAAAATTCCATTTGAAAAATTCTCCATAGATGATTGTTTTTTTCTTCTTCTTTCTTTTGTTTTGAAAAAATTGTAAAAGATTCACATTTATTAGAGGATAATTAAGACCATTCACCTTCTTATTAATTAGTGTCACATTTTTAATTGATGATTAGATAAGAAAACTTTTACTATGAATATCATAATCTTATATAATTAACAGAGATAAAACTAGAAATTAGTATAAGGATCACATAATTGCTTTGGGTTTTTTTTTTTTCTTTTTGTTTTATGTGATAAAAATTGAATTAAGTAAACTGTCTTGTATGAAGAGGTTGTAACTTATTACAATATCTGCATAAAAATTGTTGTTTTATGATTTCAATGATAATAACGAGAATACGCATTAATTTATATAAAATATTGTTATTTGCAATCTAAAAATGTTTTATTAAAATTTTTATATTTAATAATTTAGAATGAATTACAATTAAAATATTATAAACTAAAATAGATTTATTTTTATATTTTTTATATGCTATTGGCCTATGCGCATATTTTATAGTAAAAAATTTTTTTTTTTTTTTTGTATTTTCGCAAAAAAGTTTATAACTTGACGTAATTTATAAAAATTAATGAATAATGGAAATCAAAGTTAATTGATGTCTATCTTAATCCTGATGATTGATGTCATTTATCAAAACATCTGTCGTTTCTCAAAAAAGATCAATTACATCGTGATTTACAAATACGTACTTGTTTATTTATAAAAATTTGTCCATTTGATAATAATATTTAATTTTTTTTTTTCATTAAAAAATAGAAATTTTAGAAAATAAAATTAAAAACTATTTCAAGTAACAATAATCATAGAAATAGAAAGTATAAATTAATTACATAATTAATTATATAATGTTTATTTTAGTTTAACTGATTACATATTTATTCTAATTAAAATTCTGCATCGCAATAAATTCTTAAATTGACAATAAACATTAGGCACTCATTTCAGAAAATTGTTGTGTAATTTATTTTTGAACTATAAGTATTAATTTTATTCTTTTAAGAGTAAACTATACTAAATTTAATAATAAATTGCAATTTCAATATTCTAAAGTTGGTGTATAAATTAATTAAAATTAATTAATTATTGAAATTATCCCATTAAGAAGCTGTGGTTTTAGGAAAAAGGAATCTTAAAGTTTGTGTTTCATTTTGTTATTGTTGGAACTAAAAGAAAATAGTATATAGGAGAAATGTTGCGTAGTGAAAAATTTACTGTTCTGCTTTACACGTAAATAATTAATACATATTAGCGAATCCGTGAGATGTTCACACAT